CCCTTAGGACCCAATGCAACAATATATTATCGGGCCCAGGAATAAAAAGTATACAATGCTGAGGTTCAAGTAGGTATTAAATAAGAGTGTATCAGTGCCCTCTATAGATATCCCGGGGAACTTAGGGATTTCTGCAGCAGTTTGGCTGATATTATCATTTTACTTTTTTTTATTTTTTTTTTAGAATAGCTAAGAGAGAGCGCAAGGGGACCGTGTCCAGGAATGGCTGGGGATGTCACTCCCGTGAACAACACAATGTCTTACGAGAAATCTATGTTAAATAAGATACATATTAGGGAAATTACTTTTAAATGTTTTTCTTTTATTTATTTTTGTAATATAACGGCAAAGTAGCGGGGTTATTTTAGCGAAGTAACTGTTACTGTAACAAGTTACTCTTTAAATTTTGTAACTAACTAGCAGGGTTACTTTTTTCCCTGTGTAACTGTAACACCTTTATATTTTAGCACTAACGTGCTCATGACTGGGTCACTTTTACCCTATTCTGAAATACGACCATAAAAACAGGAAACATGCTGAAATAAAAAAGGGCATCGCACGTGAAGGTTTACACCTGAAGGACGACCGTGTCAACCAGAGGTAGACTTTTTGAAATTTTCAAGAATGCACTGTAATAACTTTCTACAGGAAAAAAGCTGTGCCGAAAAATTTCCCCGAAATGCGTCCACGATTAAAATACACCTTTGTTGAAAATGGCAGCTTTTTCCGTGCAGGCGCCCGATTTTCCAGAGCATTTTACATCGACCGCGTAGTTCGATGTCGCCGTATATTTACTACTATTGGGTCAGATTGTGTAAACATCTGATTGCTTCGTGACAGGAATTTTGGATGAATGTATAGACACACGGTATAGCTAGTGATAATAAACATTTTAAACAGTAAAATCTTGGTAAAAGTTGTTTTTTTTCCATTTTACTTTTTTCCATTTTACTTTTTTTCCTTCCTCCTCCTCCTCCTCCTCCCCCTCTCCCCCTCCTTTATATCGACCGCTAGCCCTCCCCACGTAAAATGCTCTTCCGGGGTCGCTGGTAACACTTCACAGGGGATAAAACTAGGGATGCCGCGAACCACCCTAGGTTTGAATTCGAAAGGGTTCAATATATTCGAACCGAACTGATGTTCGATTTCGAAAAGTTTCGATATTTTTGACCGTAGGGAGGTTCGAATTCGAAAAATTCGCAACTTTCCAAAATCGTGGGGTTTTGAATTCGAAACGTTCGAAGCTTTCACGGTTTCTAAAAGTTCGGGTTCGATTATTTCGAATATTTGTTTACTTGAGGTTCGATAAATTCGAAAATCCGCCACAGTTTCAGTTTCAAATAACGTTTTCACGCCTCACTGGTTTTCACGAAATCGGGTTTAGAAAAGTTCGGGTGTGATATTTAGACTGCGCGAAGTTGGTCAGGCAACTAAATGAGACGACGAGTGCCCCGGATGAGCTGGAATATTTGCCATTGCAGTGACGTGTAACAATAGATCAGTAATTGTGACCGCCAGCCCGGGGTGGTCATCAACGTGCATTACGAAGTAGTGATCCTACGAACGCACTGTTTAACGATACTCATCCAGTTCGAAACGGCCAGGGGCAGGCAGGTGGTTGAGGTTCAGAAAAACCTTGAAGTGATCTGGCAAACTGGCCCCCTATCCCCTTGCACGCTGGCAGTAATCCGATCAAACGCCGCCCGAGTGACGCTGGCATATAGTAAGTTTAGTTTGTACATGATGCAAACTCCTGAGACTGGGAATGAAATTTTAAAGAAAAAGTGTAAGAAGACAGAAAGAAGGGGACAGGACAACGTCTTAAACTCAACTCAGCTAAAAACTCAGCTCAGGACAACGTCTCAAACTCAACTCAGCTAAGTTTATGACGTTGTCCTGTCCCCTTTTTCCTTTCTTCTTACACTATTTCTTGCGAATTTCATTCCCAGTCTCGGGATTTTGCATCATGATCAACAGACACCTGATCGCCTGCACCTTGACAATTTTTTTGTTTGTAATTGCTTTGAAGGTTTATTTTCTGGGGCGGAAGAAACGCCAAGCAAAAAGCACAGAAGATGAAGCAACTTGAGGTCGAGGATCGTTCTACCATACCAGTGGCGTCGGAAGAGGAAAAACGGGGAGGGGGGGGGGGGGGGGGGGGGCTCCAGTCTCCCCCGCCCCCCCCCCCCCCCTTTCCAGATATTTAGGACTGTTAAAGACAACAATACGGGGAAAGAGGGCGTGGTCGAGCTTATTTTAATCTGAAATTATTTATGCATATGTATAGCTACTGTCGCTCTTCACTGCATAAAAGATCGCGTAGATAGTCATTGTTAAGGCCGGTTCTGACATGCAGCGAAGCGCTGATGTAACGCTGCTCACGTGCCGTCAGGTACTTATCGTATGCCATGAGCAACAGTTTTGACGGTGCGATACAAAGCTGGTGAACGCTCCCGTCGGCACGTGCTTAGCACGAGGTCAGCGCTATGCTTGTTGCGCTCCACTGCATGTGTGAACAGGCCTTTAGAAACTCGTTGTCAGGAGGCACTACTCGTCACATGATCGGTGGCTCGGAAGTTCAAAGCTATGTGTTTTCGACATAAATAACTGTGCCATTGGTAAAAAAAAAAATTCAATAAATAAACATAACAATAAATGCAAAAATAAAAAGCTGGAGAAAAAAAAACTATCAAGAACCCGCCAGAAGTGTTGTATTCTTGCATATTCAGAAGCTCAGAACTATGAAACAAGTTTCTCCTACCAAAATGTCTACAGTCCAAAAGAAACACGTCCCAAAAACGTAAAATGAGAAAAAAAAAAAACATTTTATGACGCGCTGAACTTGAACAATTTTAGAAATCTTCCCCCATGAGTTAATTTATTCCTCAACGTGAAAAAAACAATAAATACATTATTTTGTATTCTGCAGATGGTAATGATATGTACTGTCTCTGGTGTTAATTTAAACGCGATACCCCAAACAATGTAGGCGAAAAAATTACCAAGTTTAGGGCATAATTGTCCGTAGGTACATGTTTGGATATTTATTCGAAACTCGTCTTAAACAACAATAACCATATCTTAAGACGACACTCACCTAGGCTATATATAAATTATTCTTAAAAAGTTTGACATCTCTACCATAAATAGCTTCGGCAATAGCGCGCTTCAAATATGGCACAAACGACAATTGTCAAAAACCCGTCGTCCTTCCTCGCTCCTTCGGGAATTTATTTTTCTAAAACCAAGCATGCCAGATGATTGAAATAAACGGCATTGTCTTTTGCAAGGAATGCGGCACCCCATGTAAAATTGTGAAAAAAAAAAATTACGAATGTACCTCACTGCTTGAATCCAAATGAAACCGCCCGCCGGTATTTCGAAGTTCGACGAACTTCGAAAGACCGGCGAAAAAAACTTTTACCCTAAAAGTTCGAAGTTCGTCGAACTTTTGACTTTTCAGGAATCGAGAGTTCGACAATTTTCTAATTCTTTAGAATAATAAGTTCGAAAATTTTCGAATTTCTTAGCATAGGAAGTTCGAAAGTTCGAAAAGCTTCAAACTTTTTAGTGCAAGAAATTCGAAGGTTCAAAAATCATCGATTTTTTTTAGTCTATCAAGGTCGAAAGTTCGACAAACATCGAATTTTGCAGCGTAATAAGTTCGAAAATGCGAAAAGCGTCGAACTTTGTTTAATAAGTTCGAAAGTTCGACTCCCGTCGAATTTCTTGATATGGAAAGTTCGAAATCTTTCGAACCGCTCGATTCGATCATCGAAACTTCGATTCGAAAAAAGTTCACGGCATCCCTACATAAAACCCTTCTCCCTCCCCATTTTACTCGGTTTCTCATTTAGCCCGTGAATATAATTTCCATAAAATGCCAACACATTTATCATTAAAAATGTGTCCCCTAAGTTTAATGAACCAACCGAACTCAACTCTATTATCATAGACTACAAAAAAAAATCTTTAACAAATATTATAAAAACCTATTCTCGGCTCAATTTGTTTTTACAATTTCTTTTTTAATATGGATCAATCTTTATTGTGGATTATTATGGATTAGGACGGGAAGGTGGACTACCAATAAACCTGAGCATAATGTGCGAGCCTCTCGCGCTAACCCAGGCACTTTTCCCAATCCGCCGCTGCTCCTAGCACTGCGGTGCAAAGTGGTGAAGCTCGACGCACGCATGCTGGTGAGAGGTGAAGGAAAACGTGAGTGGCACAAGTGCCACGGTACTCTGCAGTCACGGCATAAAGGCATGTGGCGGATGTGATAATCCAGTAATGTGATCAGGAGTACACGACCCTGGTTCTGTCTTATCACAGGAGCTGCAATCTTAGTGTTTTGCAAAGTTTTCTCGGAAGTTTCAGTTCCCGGCATCGCCGACATCGTCCGCAAATTTAGACGACGTCGGCAATCAACCGACCAGAGAAGTTGATACGCACCATCAATGCATCTGGCCGGTTGATTCGCAGCATCAAAGCGCGACATCAAGGTATAATTGTCATCCCCTTGTACGTGTTCCTTCATCGGCTAAACCAATTGAAGTGCAGCGAATGTCCCGTGACTTGCGCTTTTCTTTAACTTCTTAAAATATTAGGGACGACCAATAATAACATTATTTATTTTGCTTTAAACCCATCTGGGCGCAGGTGTGGTGCGATTTCCCTTTCCGCTCCCCTTTCATCACCCGGCTCCACTCTTGGTGCGTGGGTATGGGCGGGCTAGGGTGATCACGTGGTGAAAGATAAGCGTACGACTGATCCAACCAGCCTGCAGCTTCCACCGCACTGTCAGCTGAGGGGTGAATGAAGTATAGCGAATGTGACTGAATCGGAAGCATTCATATACATACTGGAATATTGAGTCTGGGTCATCTTCGTTGAACTTGTCTGAGGACAGCCTCACTTAATCTGGGGTTGTCGACACATTGTTTCCAGAAGCTGATTGTTTCCTGGCATTGGCTGAAGGTTCTTCATTTTTCTCGCAGTGCTGCGAGGGCAAAGTTCACATCCATGTGGTGGAGGGACTCCACGAAAACTTCATCCTGGGCAAGGGGGCGCTGGAGTGTGCCAATCTGGTTGCCCAACAAGTCTGCACGGCGTAGCTCGGCCCACCCATTCCAGAGCGGCGGCATACCCGGGCTGCTGCCGTGCAATGGTCCTCAATGCCGCTTGCTCCCGCTGTTTTCGTCGTGTTGACCCTGCGGTGCTCCCCCGCTCCTTTTGTACAGCAGACAGACGACACGAACAGCATTTGTGCCCCCACTGTGTATTTATGTATACTCTTATTGTGTTTTTGTTTATTGTGTTTCCCCAATAAATAACTATCGAATCGTGGGATGTGTGTGACCTGCTGGGACATGCAGTGCCAGTAACAACCTCAAAACAAACCGGCCTAAAATAATTCTGAGAACCTGGAACGTTTGAGTTTGTAACAAGCGCATCACCTTGTGGAGATGGGTGCTTGCTGCAGGCGTGGGCACCATCGCTTTTCTTTTCAACATCCTCTCTTACTGGGACTATACACAGCTTGTGTGAAGCCAGTGTCTTGGAATGATAATTGTGTCCTTTATAGTGAACATGTGTTGTGGTGCCACACAGACACGAGACGCGTTGTCGAAGGGGGAAATCTAAACGGCGTTAAGTAGGCTTGGACTTCATTGTGCAAAGCTTCAAGCCGATAGAAGCGCTAGTGATCAACACTTTCTTCAGTTGAAAGTTGTGGCGTGCAAGGGTCATTAGCAAACCACCCGGTCCAGTCAGAAATGTAAAAGTTAGTGACACAATCAAGTTACCGACTTAAGCTGAAATGTAATTAAGTTGCAGGTACAGCTGCAGCCTTGCAAATGTCTAATTTCAGTTGCTCGCACAACTCTTACCTTTCAAACATCCCGCAATGTAACCGAGTTGTGGTGAAGCAATATGCTTACTCTCCATGTAGCTGCACTTCACCAAAATGTGAGGAATCTGCCCAACATTGTGACACGGGTTATTTTCACTCGTTCAATAAGCTCGGACGTCTTTGCACAGATGGATCGTTAAAGTAGGCATGTGCATACTTTTGAAGCTTGAGATCAAAACTTCAAATTTGGTATCACGGTCCTTTAACTACTTCCTGGTCTGGAAACTGCAGCTCCCATCCTAGTAAACTTTGTCATCATTAGCAACACTTGCGCAAGTAAAAGTTAAAAAAACAATAAAAAAAAATTAAAAACGTTTACAAATCTCTGCAACACGAAATTAGAGGGCAGTTCTTGTGGGGGAGGAGGGGAGGGTGCGACATGGAGGGTATGCTTCTCCTTCTCCCCTCCTTTCCTCGATCATTATCCTTTTCCCCACCTCCTCTCCTCCTCCCGCTGAATTTGTTCATGGCTGACGTGACACGAAGTGATGCGACGTCATTTTCCCCGCTAAATTGAATGGGGAAACTGAATTGGTCTTGAGGTCACGTAACATAAATTTCTCCTCTAAATTTAGCGCAAAATATTTCCCTCTAAATTTCAAGGGAAAATTAATTTAGCGGGTTAAGTTTCTCCACTAAATTTAGCGGGGAAATTGACGTCACGTGACCTCAACACCAATTCAGTTTCCCCGCTAAATTTAGTGGGGAACCAGTGACGTCCTTCAGCTGGCAACATTGGTCGCTTTCTCTCATGTTCGGCCACTGATCTCTATGACAATTGCTAGATCGCGCTTCCCCGCTTGTTCGCTGCAGCGCAAGTGAAGCCACCGGGCTTCACTCGCTTGGGATACGATTTGCCGTTTTTGCTAGCCTTTGCTGCGGTTTTCCAGCGTGCTGACGACACGTTTTCTACTCGTTCGTCGTCATTCGCCGAAGAAGTTTTTTGAAGACTCTGTGTATTGTTGAGACTTTCCGTTGTGAACACGTGGAAAATTTTACGAAAGTGCAGTGTCGCAGGAAAAAGGCACAACGCGTCGAAAGGAAGGGCTGGCGGCGTGTTCAAAGCATCCTTGGCACGCCGAAGTGCCGTGTCTCTGTGCCTTCGCACGCTTGGATACCGACCAAGAACCGACGCCGTGTGTATGTGTTCAGCGAGTGCAATGTGCGTGAAGCTGTTCGTGCCTCTGGATCAGCGTCTTTTCCCCTCGCGGTTTAGGAACGAGCTTAATCCAGCGTCCACTAGCGACGGAGGATGGGGAGAAGGTACGTCTTTTTTTCGTCCTTAGACGATTTACACAATACCGTGCACAACAGCTCCTCATCACTGATCAGTGCTGGCTTATTATCAACCTACGCGACTCGCCTAATTGTAATTGGTCAACAGATTGCACACGACCATATCGGCCGCGCTTCAAAGATTTTCATTCTCGCCGTCTTGTACTTTTGCTTTCGAAAACCCCCCTGGCTCCACGTACAACGTTGCCCTATTCGTGCTCCCACGGAATCTATTAGAGTAGATTTGGGACATAGCCATGGTTAATATAGAACATAAGAATACGTACAGATCTCCCCCTTTTATTGATAGCAACTCACCGGAACAGCTGGACGATCCAGAACTCCGTGGCCGATATATATAAATGATCTAAAGGCATCTACGCGCGACACACGTTCAGAACTTTGGCGCGGCGTCAATTCTTGACCGGTATCCAAGCGTGCGAAGGCACAAAGATGCCTCACTCAGCGTGCCAAGGAAGCTTTGATCACGCCGCGACACCGGCGACACGTTTTCGACGAGTTGTACCTTTTGATACGGCTTCACGCACATTGCACTCGCTAAACACATTCACACGGCGTCGGTTCTTGGTCGGTATCCAAGCGCGCGAAGGCACAGAGACACGGCACTTCGGCGTGCCAAGGATGCTTTGAACACGCCGCCAGCCCTTCCTTTCGACGCGTTGTGCCTTTTTCCTGCGACACTGCACTTTCGTAAAATTTTCCACGTGTTCACAACGGAAAGTCTCAACAATACACAGTCTTCAAAAAACTTCTTCGGCGAATGACGACGAACGAGTAGAAGACGTGTCGTCAGCACGCTGGAAAACCGCATCAAAGGCTAGCAAAAACGGCAAATCGTATCCCAAGCGAGTGACGCCCGGTGGCTTCACATGCGGGAGCGGCAAGCGCGATCCAGCAATTGTCATTGAGATCAGTGTGTTCTGCCGTGCTCTTTCACTCGGGATTTCAGATTTCGGCGCACAGGATTTACCACTCCTCCTCACCCACCTTTAACCTCCTTGCTTAGGGGTATCTTCAACTACTTCCTTCATAGTAATCAGAAAGCCACCACTAATATAGCAAATATGCCATTTTTCGTATGATGATAGTGATTAGAGCACTATATAGCTCCTACGGAGCAGAGTAGCGCAATCCTTTGAACCCCGTGTTTTGCCGACAACATGGCCGACAGAGCGGCTCGGCGCGAGGCACGTGGTACTCAGGGTTCCAGGAGGCGGCCCGCCCTATGGGAGAATACATGGAGATCGATACAACACGGCTGATTAAAAAATGAACGGCGAGTTCACACTTTTCAAAACTAGTCTGTCCTGAAGTTAGTAAAGCACTAAACACTTTATCAAAGTTTTAATAATATCGGATGCGTGTGCAAATTTTGAGAAGGCAATTTCCAAGGCAATGGCGTTTGAAGCAGACGATTTTTGCTCGCAGCGGAGATGGGCTTTTCGGGTTGGCCGGAGCGGGTCACGTGAATGGTGTGACGTCGCCGTGTCGTCTGCTGCATGATGCCGCTCAAGCAATTTTTTTAAAAAAGTCAGGTCCTTGCGGGGCACAAAACTTAGCGCAAATTATTCTAAAATGTTCCATTATTATGTCAAAAACAATTGCCACTCCGTACACCCCCACAATACTGAAGAAACAGCGATTGTCTCACGTTCTCCATGCATTTCTGACCGCAGTTGGAACCTCCGGGCGTTCGCCGCTAGTCGCCGAGAGGCGGCATTCTAGATTGCGCTACTCTGCTCCGAAGGAGCTATATAGTGCTCTAATAGTGATCAAAGTGGCCAGACTGAATTCCGGAATGGATCTATTGGGGCAGGCATGTCACAAAACAATTTTTCCGGGGAAAAAATAATTTTTTTACGGTAATATTTATTGTACGAGATTGATTTTAGTTTGCGGCTATTTCGTCCATTTTAAATCGAGCGCTACGAAGTTGGTATTATATGCCACGGAGTCGCTGTTTTATGTTACGGAGTGATGCGCGGTAGCAACTCTTCTCATTGGCTAAGAGATTGATTGACAGCTTAGATCTTGGTTGTTAAACCTTTGTGATATATTGTAATTTCCTTCTGAGCAGCATACTTTTACGTTTAAAGAATAACCCATGTAACGAGAGTTATTATACTTTACAAAAGGTTTACAAAACGGGCACTTGCGTTTGGATTCATACCATAACAAACAAAAGCATGGCCACCGCTGTCTCTGTTCCCTCGTGTCTCGTCTACCTCGAGTAGTTGTTTCGCCTAAGTGATCACTGATCAGTGTTTCCTGTTGACCCAGGTGCTTGAGTGTGACTTTCTGAAGTGAAGTAGTGTGTTTAGCAGCTGTTGCAGGTGTTAGTGATAGGAAGCGACGTGGGGTTTGGCGTCATAGCACGGTTTGTTACTTTTGTTTTCTTTGCTTTCACACTGCAATTTTTTTGCTTTCTCAGCATTTTTTTTTTATTTTTTTTTTGTTCGAGCGTTGTTTTTCAGCAGCCATGTCGCCCCAAAAGATGACAAGCTGAATGCTATTTGGTTGGAGGCAATCGGGCGTTCGCGGATTGACAAACGTGGCCAAATATGTTCTTGTCTTTTCGCTCCGGAGGCCCTCGAGATTTGCACCGGGTGCACTGAACGTACTACGGAGCGCGCCAAAGGCTCGGGAGGCTCAGGCAGTGCGCAGTCTTCGTTGCTGGCAACCGTCCTCCGTGACATATCTTTGTATGGCCGAACCGCCGAACACCCAGTTGCTCGCAGCGGCGGTCCATTTTGCAGGCCGTTTGCACAGAACCAACGTTCAACTCCGCAGCCAAGTCAATCCAAGAGCAAATCCAAGGGCGAGGGGCGCGGGCACTGATTAGGGGTGTCGCTAACTTTTGTCGAACCGGATTTTTAGGTCGAACTTTCGGGGTTCGACGAACTTTCAAACTTTTAACCAAATCGACAGGTTCGACTTTGTGGACAGTGTGGCCAGACCTTGATACAAATATATCTAGGTTTGGAGAATTTTTTTTTTTTTTTTTATGCAAAGGGTTATTTTATTTATGAACACTTTCAATTGAAAGAAACGAATTCTAATCACTGAAGAAGTTAATAACCTAATTTTTTGTAGTGTATTAACTGAAATAACCAATCAGCGTTTCCCTTAATTAATCCCTTAGCCATTACCATCCAATCCGAAGCCAACTGGCCAGCCTGTCGCGCATGCGCACACGAGTCGAACCTCAATACAAGGTTCGTCGAACATTCCATTAAAAGTTCGATAAGTCGAACCTGGTCGAACTCGAACCTCGGCCGGTTCGCGACACCCCTAGCACTGATCTCTAGGCGCGGGCACTGATCTCAATGACAATTGCTGGATCGTGTTTGCCCGCTCCGCGAATGCGGTCACTGGTGGCCATCTTTTTGGTAGAGTTATATTACCTCTAGCCAAGGTACAGCTGCTGCAGCCACTATCATCCATCCATGGCAGACAGCATTGTGGCAGTTGTGCTGGCAGGCTGCCATCAAAATAGCGTGGGCGATTTTTCGTGCTTCATAGAAATTGTTTGACGGAACATATTTTTGAAACCCGACGTGAACGGTAGCCCGATCTTTGAGGACCCGGTGAAAGTTTCACGAAATCGCAGCACCGGAAAAAAGCAACACAGCACACATCGAAAGTCGCATCGAAAGAAGCATCGAAAGTAGACGCCGGTACGGAGTCTGCGTTCGATGCGAGCTGCGCTGCTTCCCCTCGTGCTGCGTTTTCGTTTTGCCGGGTCCTCAAAGATGAGGCTACCGTTCACGTCGGGTTTCAAGAATCTGCTTCGTCGAACAACTTTAATCAAGCATGAAATATCACCCACAGTACAGTGTAATAGATCCACGGCTATTTTATGGCAGCCTGCCGCCATTGCGCTGTCCGCCATATTACTGCGATGGCTAGAGATAACAACTCTACCAAAAAGATGGCCAACCGCGACCGCAATCCCATCTATAGGCGGAGCTGGTCAATCGTGATCCAGCAAATAGACATAGAGATCAGTGGGCAAGGGGGGCAAGGCATACTTCTCTGCGTGGGTTGAAAGAGAGAGTTTCAAATGTGGAGAGGTTGCGACCCTGACTAAATTACGTCCTGTAGCGTAACTATTGCTAATTATTTTTTTTTTCGCGTAAGATTTGTTTTGTGACATGTTTATCCCAATTAGGCTGTTTAAAAAAACATTTTTTTTTCTTTGCAGTTACCCTTTAAAGCCAAAATAAAAAGTAACTAGGGATGTCGCGAACCACCCTAGGTTCGAACTAGATTGATATTTTCAAATTGAACTGATAGCGAGTTCGTTTCACGGCACTCGTGCCCACGCGTGCCCACTCGCAGCGTGGAACGGGTTCGTTTCGGCCGGCACTCCACGAGTGGTTGCACTCTCTGAGTTCGTTTCAGCGCTGACACCCCACGCGTGCATGCACTCGCTGCACCAAGAAAATCGGGAGTGCGCCACAATGCAATCCCGTCATGCCTCGCTCCGGTCGAGCCGGCGAGGAGCGGGAGCAGACGACGAGGGTTCGTCTGCTATGATGTGTCGCGGAACCGAACCGGAAAAAAAGTAGATTTTCTCATAGATATCGCGTCCCGCGGGCCATGAAATCAAACGCGAGCTTGAATTGTGAGCGTCTGCTATTTCCCGAAGGAAGCAATTGACAACCCGTGATTTATTTGCAGGTTTTAAATCGCTCTGTTGCCGCACAAACGCTGAAATATACCAGTGTGTAAAGAAATGCTCAGAACAAACGCAACAGCGGCCCCCGAGATTGCTATCACCATCCGTGTGTGGGTGAAAAATTTAACATTTTTCGACGAAACTCCCCCAGCAGAAACCTCTGACTGCCCAATGAGCATCAGAGAAAGCTAAAGATGGAGACTTTATCCGAGGATTGGGCGACATCATCATGTTTAACATTTACCTACGTCAGCTAACTTACCCCGTCGTATTTTGTTCGAGAAAGCTCTCATTCTCGACGCCCTCGCCAAGGCTAATATCTAATCCTGACGATCCAAATTGAAAGTCCCAGTTTTGCTGGATATTCCAACAGGATAGTTTTAAGCCGTACCCTTTCAGTGGTTCACGAATAATACCATGCTCAAACGGATCAAGCTTCTGCCCGGACAGCCATCATCAGTTTTCTTCAGTGTAAACGGTTATAAGAATTGAAAGATCGCAATCAGCTGCTTTGTAGACAGCTGGTTGCGGAAATTTACGCCGTCTGTAATTATCTTTACGGCAGCCTAGCTGCTTGAAGTCATCGCAACTATAAACTACAGGTTGCAGCGGCCAACGTTTGTAGATAAACGTTGGTAGCGACTGCATTCTCGCATTCCCACGCATCACTCCGAACAGAAAGGCGCTAGTTTCGGTTTGAAGTCGGTACCTTTTCTACAACATAGATGGCGGCAGCGTCAGTCTTCTGCACTCGGTGCATTTGGCGAGTTCGTTTGAGTCCAGTTTTCCGTGCAACACTCGGTGAGTGCGATGCATTCTGGGAGAGAACTCGAACGGTGCCAGTGCGTGTGAAACGAACTCGCTATGAGTTTGGAATCGAAAGATTTGTGGCAAATTCAGGTGGTCAATCGCCAGCGAGACCGAGCCGGCGGAACCGGCAACCAGAAATGCGCTGCCGGCACACCACATGACCCTCAGCACCCGAAGACGGAACGCCAGACGGTGGCGGTTTACTTCGCCTCTTACTTGCGCGACACAGCTAGCGAGAGCCTGTCGCCGCCGTCACCCGTGTCCCGACGACTTGGATTGACTCAAGTGGTGGCTGCTGAAGTGACTTCAGATCAGCTTTGGCAATGGGGCTAGCTACCTTACACCGAGTATTGGAGTTTTGGTTTCGTTTGTAACATGCATGTAGTTTTGGGCACCGCTTTTGGCAGAAAAAGTGTGCATTTGAATCATGCAAACACGGTCATATATATATAGACATACATTATAGTATGAAGGCGAGGTTGCTTTGCCCGCAACGCCTACTCAATTCATGGCTCAGTCCGTGGAAGGTTAAACTAGAGAAAAGAGGGGGGCACTGCAATTTGGGCGCTTGCGGAACCCATGAAATCAGCTCGTGTTCCATGGGATCCAGTTTGAGAACCCCTGCTCTGAAGCAATCTTTGGCAAGAATCGGGTCTTTCCTGGCATAAAGAACAAGTTTTTTTCCATTTGGCAACTTTTCTCTAACAGTAATTTGCTCCCGTGAAACGTTGAATGATGCACTTCATAGTATCACTTATTTTTAGACTTTACACTTTGTGGTTGCAAACATTTGTGGGTCAACTCAGCAAAAATGTAGATTTGGACCCACAAATATCCGCATCCAATTCGCATTCGCAACCCCTAGCATCCGCATCTAATCCGCAACTCGCCAAATCTGAATACATTTTACAGTCAAATCTCGTTAATTCAAACTCGAGGGGGACCGAAAATTTGTTTGCATAAAGCAAAGTTTGAATTACCGGGAGTTTCGTCCCATAGACACACATAATATGGGATCTGCAAGTTAGTTTGAATTATCAGTAAGTTTGAATTAAAAGAGTTTGAATTAATGAGTCTACTGCATCCGCATCCGCCAGTCGACAGCAAGTATCCGCGGATGATCTGCAGGTAATCCTCGGATATACGGGAGTCTACTAATTACATTCTTTATGCAGACAACACAGCCCGAAACATATCAAAGCAAAAGGCAGAGCGATTTTATGTTCAGCATAATTTATTTGGCTCTGTCAACTATACAAATCTGCCTCGGAAACACACCCCAACGTAACTTTATCAGCCTGCATCGGCTCGAGATGGCGGTCACGGCTCGAGGGGCTGCTTGGACTGCAGCCCGTATGCAGCCAGCAGCGATTCGGGAGAGGGATCGCGCCCCATGAACCTCCGGAACACTTCGCTCCCTTCACAGCTGCCTCCAAGCTCCAGGAAGGTTTCCCTGAATCTACAACAAAGAGGATGAGTTTCTACGAGGGTGGTTCAAAACTTATCCGCATTCTGGTTGGACAGCTTATTTTAATCGAAACTCTTTAAAATAGTGAATTATTGCATAGGCAAAGCCTCGACTGGTATGCAAATGATTTGTCACATCATCCACAGCCCTCATCTATCCGCATCTGTCATATCTATCCGGCAGAATCAGTTCACAGGCACATTCAATGTCGTCATCAGCTGAGGACGCGGACGGCTCTTTCTTTATGGCTGACACTTTGTGCGTCCTTCTTTGAACTTCTCTATCCATTCAAACACACTTCTTGGCAACAAAACATTTCCTCCATACTGCGCACAAAGTCTCGAACCACGAAAACAAGGGCTCCCCACTTCAATCAAATCACAAGTAAGGTAGCCATTGTTTTTTGCACCTCAGTCACAACAGAACTAGCTGGATTAGCAACTTGCACATTACCCCTTACATGGCGATCAAGTCTGCCTGCTCCTTGCGCAGAAGCAAAACGTTGATAGCGCCCAGCTGTGATTGGAACATGCACTCGGTACACAGATACAGCGTCGTCTGCTAGGAGTAGCAATGGCTACCTTGCTTCTTGCATGCATCCACGAATGAAAATTCCACGTCAACAAACTCTGTAAGTTAGTACACATGTGTTAACTCTAGCAAAGAATATTCCATGTGTTTGAGTGTGCCATTACCTTCCACGAGATTATCTTCTTGCTTTGGCATCACAGCTACAACTAGGTTATAAATGGAAATTCACAACACGTAACCCTTTGAGTGCCACAACCAAGTATACTCGTTACATGTTTTTTTTTTTTTCTTTCTTGCGTCTCGAAAAGCATGGCGAGAGACAAACGTCCAAGGTTGGGGGCATGTGGACATTAAGTAACATTGTGCCCATAAATAAATGTGTATTTAATAAGCAAATATACTTTATAAAGAATGTTCTGTGTTATTGGGTTTGAAATTTGCATTTAGCACACAGGAAGAAATCTTGGCATGGGATGTGTTCCGGTGAAAAAAAAACAGCAATAAAAGGGTTAGACTTCACAGTCATCCCGAGCAAGAATGCAAGTATTCCCGGCGCTATGGGCTTCGACAAGATCCTACGGACGCTTCAAAGAAATTATCATTTTCCTTCAAATTTCTAACTCAGACTGCCCTCGAATGAGGTCATCTAGTTTCAATTACATCAAAAAGAAAATAAAATATTTTTGAAATTTAAAGGGGTATGAAAGTGAAAATTCAAATACCATATACAAATTTCGTTCGTAACTGAGTTAAGCATGACGGATAATAACCGTAAATAGTAATCACACGTTTGCATTTTGAACAACTGGCTAAATTTTTCGCTCCAAGCGGTGCACTTGAGCAAGCGCTCGCAGAGAAGCGAACGGAAAGCATGATGCGTCATGGGATATTCGGTGCAAACAAAAACAAAAAAGAAGATTCCCCGCATTTGTGACGTAGCAAGGCTGGCGTGATTATGAGTTTTGCCGTTGGTGGCGTTGTCAGCGTTGTGGTGGTGCCAATAGCGTCAACGCATTACAACTGAGCCCTTTGAAGTACTCAGCAGGTGACGAGCGTGTGGCTGGCCCAAGGAGCATGTAGCTTCCACAGCACTGTCAGCTTAGGGGTGAACGGGGTGGGGAAAGCAACTTTTGTTTTAGTTTTGAAAGACAGCCTAATCTTCTACGGGGAAAATGGCTATGTCCAGGTACACAAATCAGGGTGGTCTGAGCAAAAGGGGATTCCCTCCTTTCCATCTTTTTGATCTGCTTGGTAGAATAAACGATTCGTGAGTTGAGGAGGAAAGCTAAAAAGGCAAAAGTTGAAAAATTGTTTCATGACTGCCTTAAACGGCTGAGCATACTTCCAAAGAGCGGCGCTGCTACAATGTTTTGTGCGGCTACGTAACGCTTCTTGCTATGTCATGACCTAAGTAGCAAGATCCCCAACATTGCTACATTACCTCCCAACTAAGCTTTGCACTCATCTACCCGATGCACACTGAAAGATTGTTTATAAGATTTAAATTTAGTTTTCTTTTGCCTTTCAACGGATGACTGGTGTTTTTGAGGTTATGCTGCAACATGCAACACATTTAAGCTAGAAAACGAGCGCTGGAATTTCGTTTCCATACCCCTTTAAGGTTTAGAATTATTAAATTTTGAATTTTGCAGAATCGTGCAGCATTTACTAGAACAGAGGTTCAGAAACTTTTTGATCTCAAGGAACCCATTCTGGTCTAGGCATCGATGCAATAAAACGGCGCAAGAGCCTATAGACGTAAACAATAATGCGCGGAAGTGCTCGGATAATAAGTTCCGCTTTGACGGATAGCTCGGATCCCACTCCAAGCACCGTCTTGGCTCATACCGGCGGCGCCGTGACGCGGGGCACGTCGGTCCATTGCCGGTACCCACCTTTCTCCGACGTGGTCCACCTCGGACCCCTCGGCAAACCCGACCTGCCGGAAGGCGCCAAAGATGTCGGCAGCCACCATCTGAAACGGGGCAAGGAGGCAACAAGGTAAGGCTAGAACGGTACAGTCACCGACAAGGCGACAACGGCGGGGCGCGTCTTTCGAACAATTGAATGATCGCGTTTAAGCTGCAAGAAACGTCGAAGCGTCGTCGAAGGCGGGAAGCTCACATCGGGGGCGGAACAACCGAAGCCCTTCCCGTCGTCCTTGGCCCATGACCGTCACAATAAAAAAAAAATAAAGAGCCTTCCAAAGCCTGCGAGCGGAACCTTGTTTTTCGGCTGCAGGACAAGAAATCTCGCTCTCTGCAGGTCGTGGGGAGCCAACTAATGGGAAAACGGAAGGAGCCAAGGGGGTCGTTGCATCTACGCAAAGCCTCGGACGTGCCCAATATCTCTGCCAGAAGCTGCTCGTTTGTAAATTCCGATCCGGTTACGGTCTAATCTCCTTCCCTGTTGCTCTAATGGGTAGCGCATCTTGCCCAAAAGCCCTCTGCAGAATTGTGTATTATGAAGAATGCAGTGGATGCTAGCCGCAGTCTCCGTCTTCCCACCACGCGACACCATGTCAAACGTCCTCGGAGCTTCCTTTTGTACTGTTTTTTTTTTCTTTTTGTTTTTGAAGCTTTTGCAGCGGGTGAAGTTTTCTCAGTGTCTAAAAATTCTCCCTCTTGCCCGCCCTTGCCCCCCCCCCCCCCCCCCCCCCCTTTTCTTTTTACAGTTGCATTGTGTGGTTGGTGGAGCTCATAGAGGGGATCGGTGGCAAAGTGGGCTAGCACCAATGAGGTGAGGGGCTTAGAGCGATAAACTGGTATTCCGTTCACCAGGCAAAAGTGACCCCCCACTTGGCTGTCACCGTGTTGTAGAAGTTTAACCACTAGGCACGTGACCGTACCAAATCCTGAGGCTTTTAACCAAAACTGAGCCGAGATTTGTTGTCATCGCTGTAAAAAGACGTGATAAACTGCTTTTTCGATACTGTTAGTCCCAGAGAGTAGTGTCTAAAGGGTGCGGCCGTAAAAACTTTCACATTTGGCACGCCTAGCAAAAATCGAATTTCAAATATACATACCTGAAATTGGGCACACGAACGTCGTTTATTCCAAAGTTTTTTGCCTATTTTTTTCAGACGTCAACTCGGGAGTAACGAATTAGAAAGATAACAAAAATGGCAGACGTGCATTTCCTATGGCCTATACCCGCCCGTTCGCCGTCTGCTATCTGGTTCGCGACGCCGTCCCCAGGTGGTGCACTGAACGCAAAAATGCGGGAAACGCTTTACGAAAGGCTGGTGACGGGCTAGATAATCGCGATAAAAAGTGATTTGAATTAAATATATGAACGATTGTTGAGATTACCTGTTTCAAGTCAAGTTTTGACAGATGGTCATGCAAGCAAGAAGACACCATGATGCGACGAGATCATTTATTTACAGCTGGAATAGCAAGTGGTGCTGCTACCGTTGCAGACAAGTTCGTTTTGAGTTATCATTTCATTCTGAATTTTACAGGGCCGCTGTAACACATAAAGTATATTTTTTTTCATACAGTTTGGGTATAATTAACACACATGTCACAAGACATATTTGTAAGAAAAAAAAGAAATCATATTAATTGGAGCAATATTTACGGCGCTGGAGTCGTTTCGGTGGGCCGGTGATAAAATGGCTTGTATTTGAGAGAGATAGTCGTCTTTTTGCTGGTTTCCCATTGGTACCTCTATCAGCAGCCTCTACTTTGATCTCCGCGTGCGGCAAGCAGCACGAGAGAAAGTAATAGGGAAACTAATAGTTTAAATTCCGTCAGGAAGTGGAAGCTGTGCGTTCATTCAATTGTTTATTCTTGAAAAATACATCTCCTGATATGCCTCTTCTGTCACGGCGATTTGAAATAACTTTGATGCTGCAGTGGCCCTTTAAACGACTAGGGTTCGGCCGATTCGATGTGCCCGCCGTTTACAGACACGCAAAGCCGAAGTCGAGCTTCGTACGCCAGGAAAGCCCTTTCGCGCATCCCATCGTCGATCTCGAGGAACGCGCCCACAATTTTTTCTTTCAGCTCTTCGATGCTGGGGATCCTCTTCGTGTAGACAAGTTCTTTTATAAATCCCCATACGAAAAAGTCGCATATATTTAATCGGGGGATCGTGGAGGCCAGTCCATATAATCTGATCTCCGACCCATCTACCGCCGAGGGAACGTGTTATTGAGCCATGCCCTCACAGTCTTTTCGTAATGGGGAGTTGCTTCATCCTGCATGAATATACAGTTTTTTGTCATGTGGTGCCTTTCAAGCTCAGGGAGCATTTCCGTTTTCAGCATCTCCAAGTAGGCAAAAAGGGGCCCACTATGCCTTCACGCCAAATCCCACTCCACACTGTCACCTTCGGTGAATGGAGATGCCGTTCGTCCACGGCATGAGGGTTATCTCGAGCCCATATCCTGCTGTTCTGGCGGTTCACACGTCCATCTAGGTGAAAGTTTGCTTCGTCACTAAAGAAAAGAAATTGCAGGCGCCCCGGGTTGCTCTTAATTCGCAACAACTCCGCCTTGCAAAACTCTAAACGTCGGACGTTGTCGCCGTCGTGCAGGGCTTGGACAACTTGCATCTTGTACGGGCGCAATTTATTTTTCCGCAGAATCCGTCGTACGCTTTTTTTCAGCATTCCAAACAACCTGGCTGCTCGTCTTGTTGACAATTGCGGGTCGCTCTTGAAAACAGCAAGCACCGCTTCAATGAGCTCCCCATTTTTCAGCAGCCTCTCACGTTCACTGACTGGATTCTTCTTTTTAAAGTCTTCTCCACTCACAAAACGATCCGCCCAAGTCAAAATAGTCGGGCGTGAAGGCGGGCGTTTATGAAATGCAGTGCGAAATTTTCGCTGTGCTGTGGCTACCGAGTTCCGCTCCACGTACCACTTGACAACCTGGGCACACTCACTTGCCGAGTATTGCGGCATCGCAGGGCGGCGCGGAAAATATTTTGATAATAACTGCAGAAGATTGTGAAACAAAAACAATAAATAGGAACAATCAAGATGCCTCAGCGGCGGCACTCTTGATTCCAAAGTTGAGCTTTCACCGGGAACGGACCCGTCAACAGATAAGCAGACGAAAAAGGAAGACACACGTTCGTCTGCTTTAGAACATATTTTTATTAAACGAGGGCGTCCGCCAGTTTCTAAATTTCAAGTAAAAGGGCATAATCGTTCACATATTTCACTAAAATCACTTTATATCGCGATTATCTCACCCGACACCAGCCTTTCGTGTGGCGTTTCCCGAGTTTTTACGTTCAATGCGCCACCTGGGAGCGGCGTCGCGAATCAGATAGCAGACGGCGAACGGGCGGGTATAGGCCATAGGAAATGCACGTCTGCCATTTTTGTTATCTTTCTAATAATTCGCTACTCCCGAGTTGACGTCTGAAAAAAATAAGCAAAACACTTTGGAATAAACAACGTTTGTGTGCCCAATTTCGGGTATGTACGTTTGAAATTCGATTTTTGCTAGGCGTGCGAAATGTGAAAATTTTTACGGCCGCACCCTGTAGTTCTGATAAAAACCCAAAATACAGCACCGCGGCCGACGGAATCTAGCGGAGCCATTGCAAAGCTGCCCGAGTTTGTGTCGTATAAGCACATTTCGGACTTAAAACAAATGAAACATAACTCGTCGGTACTGTTATTAAAGATCAATAATCAATTATTTGTGCGCAGTACTTAGTTAAAATCTAGACATGGAGGTAGCAAATTGGGGGCCAGTTTCAGCTGCCAGCTCTTATCGCTCTCAGGCCCTCACCTCGTTGGCTAGCACACAACAGCTCAGAGCACGTGGAGCGAAAGCTCGCGCTGCAGAACCCAGGGATCCTGGGTTCATCCTGGGTTCAATCCCCACCCCTGCCCGTTTCGATCTGGACGAGCATTGTACCGGTGTGCGGTCATGTATCACTACTGCGTGGTGCACATTAAAACCTCAGGCTGGCGGTTCTACTGCGCTGGCTAAATTTCTCATCTACAGCTCAGAAACCAGATGCCCCTTGAGGCTGACTACCGTGTTTGCACGATTGTAATGTGCCCCCGATTACAACGCATAGGCATATTTAGCGCTCAAATATTCGAAAAATACCTTGATGCCAATTGTACTTCGCAGGTAAAAAAAAGAAAGGCTGAGCACATACCTCATAAAACAGATTTCACGAAACGCACGCCAATACAAAAATAAAACCGTGCTCTAGTCACCGTTGTCAAAGTCCAATGATGGCTCTTTGCTCTCCACAAAGGTAATCCTTGCTTTCGTCTAAAACATTTTAGGTGCTACGCTTCTTGCGCTTGTACAAGTGCGCGACCGTCGCCGCTGGGAAGGTCGTCTTCCAAACAACTTTGCAAGTTCATTGGGTTGCTGGGATTGCGAGGCCATGCAGTGCTGCTCCATTCTTATCTTTTCCCGCCACCGTGATGGCCTTTCATTTTAAATAATGCCTCCTAGTCTAATTTCTTTTCGTTTTCCATCTTAAGATGGCAGACACGAGTCCTAGACGCGAGAGAACACGTGCGATACAGATACTAAAATGGCGAAAGTAAACAAACAATCACGATGGCGATAGGGCTAGCCTCCTTATACCGAGTATTGCGTTTTTCTTTTTGAGTTTTGGCTTTTGGTTTTGAATGTAATGCGCACATACTTTTGGGCACTGATTTTGGCGAAAAGAAGTGTGTGTTACAATCGTACAAACACGGTAACTACTGGCTATATAAACATACACAGACCACTCTTAGCTTACGGTGCGCGTGTTTGGCAGCAGACAAACTCTCTTTGACCTTGCAAGCCTCGTTCACTTTTCTTAAAGCTAAATCAGAGTTAGCTTTAATAAGAATGCAATTTCGCATGAACAAGCTCCAACGATATCTCGAGATGTCTCCGACTTTCCATGTTAATCGATTCATCCCAACCAGTCCCGTACCCCGTATTCAACACTCGTATAATACCCTCGGCGTAGCAGATGTATTGATGTTTTTAATCCAACTTTTGTGGCGTTTGTAGCTGACCTGTGATCAATCTGCTGTGCATCCTTATCAAGGCATCAAGCTGTTCATGAGCTCAGAAAAATAAACCAATGAAGGAATGACGGAATGAGTGGCGATTCCCTCTGTGCACAATGCGGGTGGAGACAAAGCATTCACACTAACAGCAAATTGCACAGGCAAGGGTACAGAGCACATACTCTTAGCAGTTGATTCAAGCGTGCGAGCGCAGCATCGGTGCCTCCCTTGGCTTCGGCCGTGCGTCCATAGCAATTGTTTTGTTCTGAGCAAGCATAAAACAAAGCATAGTTTGGCTTTTCATTGCACGAGCCATGCCGATAGAATCTTGAGGAGAATATCATCCGACTGGCACCGCGCCGACTCGAGTTTCAGCCTTGCTGTGGGCTCCAACTTTATATACAATCTTTATATATAATCTTAATGTCCGTGACGCTCCCAACGTGTCGCTCGCTACGACGCTCGTTACGACGTCCGTTCGCGACGGTTTTCTCGCAGGAAGTGTGGCACGAAACAAATTTTGTACAAAAACGTATTCGGTTATTCTAAGTAGTACTGTGTTTACTCGCAGAATGAACACACTTTTTTTTCCGAAGAATCGATGCAAAGTTGGGGGGGCATTCATTACGCGAAGTAAAAATTTTGCGTGCGTATTTACTCTGGCATAATGAACGGACCTTTTATCCTGAAAAATCGAAGTAACTTCTTATCTCTTCGCGCGTGCTGCCCGACCCCGTAACCAAACTAAGCTGTGCAATAAAAAAAAATATAACTCTTTGTTTTCTTTTTCTCTTAATTCCCTGTTGTTTTTTTTTCTTTTTTTTTTTTGCCACTTTTTCCAAGTTGTTTTGTTTGCTTAGGCGTTGCTTAGGCGAGGGCTCTCCGCTTAACTTATCTCCTTGCGCGCGGCGCATGACCCCTGGTAACCAAACTGCGCTGTGCAAAAAAAAAAAAAAAAAAGCTTTTCTTTTTTTTTTTTTTTGTTTTTTTTTCTCAGTTTGGTAAAGTTTTTTTTTTTTTTTGCCGCCTTTCGCAAGTTGTTTTACCTCCTCCGTAACCAAACTGCGCTGTGCAAAAAAAAAGAAGAAAAAAAAGCTCCTCTTTGTGTTTGTTTTCTCTTAATTACGTGGGTCTTTTTTTTTTTTTTTTTCTTTTTGCCGCCTTTCGCAAGTTGTTTCGTTCGCTTAGAGCGCTTCTCCGCTCCTCTTTCTTACCTCTTTGCGCTCGGCGGCGCGCGAGCCCAAAATCAAAACTGCGCTGTGCAAAAAAAAAAAAAAAAAAAAAGAAAAGCTCCTCTTCATGTTTTTTTTTCTTGCTTCCGTTGGATCTTTGCGAATTTTTTAACGCCTTTTGCAAGTCGTTTTGTTCGCCCACGCTGCCCATGCATTCGCGACCCCGCTGCACCAGGATAGAAAAGTGCGTTCATTTCGCGCGCGTGGGGGAAGGGGGTCAAAATTTTGACGTCCGAGTTGGAAGTGCGTTTATTACGCGAGTGAAAAAAAAATCGAAATTTTGAGAGCCGACTTGGGGGGTGCGTTCATTGTGCGAGTAAATACGGTAGTTCTATTAGAGACTCACCTTAGACCAGAGGAAAGAAAAGTAGGCGGCCGGGAAGTCCCCCACGGTGATGGGTGTAAAGGAGCACAGGTGGCACTCCCGCTTGTCTCTCGGGAGCGGGATGAACTGCGGCCATAGGCGCGAGCACACGTCCTGCCAGAATTCCTTCCTGCGTTGGCAAGTGCAGGTCTTTGTGTATGCAGGCTGCCCTTGATAAGTCCTGTCCCCATTCTATGGCAGAGAGCTTTGAACAGCAGACAGTGCGGCTTGCAGCAGGGGGATACCCTTCTTCTGTTTTGCTGGCGGTAGCGGAAACGCTGTTAAGAAAGATTAAGGGGGGACCTCATCAGCGGCTGGATAGACCTAGCAAGAGACCTCAGGTTATCCCGTATCAGCACAGAATTTCCCACAACCTGAAAAAGGTGGCGGGGAGGTTTGATGTCCCTGTCGTGTTTTCGGCGCCTCGTAAGCTGGCACACCTTTGTTCTAAAGTAGCCGAGAGGAGGGGGGGTGGGAACCAATGCACTGTAAACCACAGAAAGAAGTACGTGGATTGTGCGATCGGAGTGGTGTACAGGATCCCGTTAAGCTGTGGAAGAGTTTACATCGGACAGACGGGCCGTTGCATAAATGAAAGGGCACGCGAACATGACTGGTCGCTTCATTCAACAGCAGGAGGGCATTTGCCCCTGCACTGCGGAACATGCAAATGTCATCCTGATTTCAATAAGATCACAATCATGGGGAGGGGAGCAGATAAAACAGCCAGGGAAATTTTAGAAGCGTATGGAATAAAGAAGGAGGGGGAACAGAACTGCGTGAGTCAAACTTCTGTGTATTTACATAAGAAGGAGATTACTTTCATGGACACGTGTTGATGCGAGTGTGTTTTTTGTGGGTGTTTTCTTCGTTGGGTCCTTTTCAATAAATATTCAGTTGTCAGTTCAGCGCTCGTCCTGTGTACTCCTTTTCCTCCCGTCCATGTCGTTTGCGCGCTGTTTCCATTATTTCTAAGTGCAGCACGTTGGCGTAAGTATGGTTCCTCTGATGCGTCTTCAGCCGGTCCGTCTAGTGTCCCGTCCTGCTTGTGCGTCGAAAGTGCTCTCTAAGTGGCAACGAACGACATCACAGAAGCCGGCGCGTTGTGTTGACGGATGTCGCGATCCTGGCACCATTGCATAAGGTCTGCTCAGGCCCCATTCTCAATGTTCCTCGAGCAGATCCAAGTTACTCCTGCGGGTGGCATCGCGCGAAAATTAGGTTTGAGCGAAGCTGGGCGGCGGTAGGTTTTCGAACGCCAATGCGCAAAAAATTTAGCCTGGAGCAAGATGGAGTAAATTCGAGATGCAGTAGCGGTCAAATGCTTCGCGAATGGGCCTTCGCAGTAGGCTAAGTTATTTTCACTATATAATTTCGTTGAGACGATCCCTCCCCCAAAAATAGTTACAAATGGAATTCCCGCTACTATACTGATTTTCACCTCGAAAACCGTAGTAAATAAATAATTTTGGGTATAAAGAAAGTGTGCCTTTGCATTAATTATGTCAAAAACAGGTGGATGCATCTATCTTGTTTTCTTTGTCAATGTAGCTCTCCTGCCTGAACCCCGTCAAGGTTTGCGGTATCGGTAAAATAAACGACGGTAAACATTTTTTAAAACCTTGCAGCTGTATATGATTTTATCAATCAAATTGTCATAACCATAATTGCGTTTCATCGGGAATGTGGTGGACGTCGACGTCCAGTTTCAGCCTTTGCGGCACACGCTACAGTCTCTTTCTAAGGCTTACCAACGGCGTCCTTTTCTACCGCTTCTTTTTTCATTGCAAAACACACGCATGCAGTGTGAGGACGATGAAGAGATTAAGGTGAAGGGCGAGGGGCAGAATTGCAGCTTTGGTATATCGTTGATATAATGTCCAAATGTAACTAGCTTGAGCCCTCCACATTGTGGCAACATAGCCGAAGAAATTCGGCGATGGCAAATGCTGTAGAAAAAAAAGCCATCCCAAGATATCTCTTGCGAGCTTTCAAAGAGACAAGCATGTGCAATATGCAACCGCTTGAACATGATTGTAAACCTGAGACTGGATGCAGAAAAAAGAACACAACAAAAGATTTTTCTACCTTCTGTTGTGTTCTTTTTTCTGCCCCAGTCTCAGGTTTACAATCATGTTCAACTTACACCAGCACGCCTGCACTCTGACTATTTTTTGCAACCGTGAAAATGATTCGTGTGACTTCAAGAAGACAAAAGAAAACAGACACGCACTTGGAATAGAGCTCCAGGTCGAGGCAGGAGTAGTACAGCTCCCAGCAGAGGTCCAGAGCCACCATGTGAGTCTTGGCTGCACGGCAGAACAACACCACACTCAGACCTTGGATCTCAAAATGGCCAGCTTTCAACGTCTCTCAATAACAATCACTCTCGTCGCTGCTGCGATCAGTGTCGAAAACTCGAACAAAGTGAGCGATGCCGTAGACATCGTCGCTCCAAACTGCGTGCTCAAAACGTGAAAGGTAAACGAGAAAGGCGAAGCTCAAGACACCGAGAGAGCAGAGTCTCTGAGTGCGTGGAAAGGGACGCCGCTTGTTGGGCAAGGTACGTCACCAACCCCCCAAACGTGGCATCCTTCCCCAACAGGGTGGATACGAGGGTCTTGCACATAAATCTATTTATCTGCGAAACTATCTCACCATTTACGAAACGAATTTAGCAAAAATATAGGAATGTACAATGGGTTCTAGGAATATACTGCAATATCTCGAGAGATGGCCCATCTTAAACTGAAAGCAGATCGGGAGAAAATAAGGAAAAAACTAACTTTTAGTGCGCGATAAAAAAAAAAAAAGAGGGAAAGAACGCTAGTTTTAGAGTCTGCGACCCACAAAATTTGCAATCGCAGCGGGGGGCAACATACCAATTGGTACGTCAGCCCTCGCCATTGTCTGGTAGGGACAGTTGTCTTTAAAGACAACTGTCCTCCCATTCAGTAACGTTCACATATCTCCAACTTTGGCTGAGTTGCACCATTTTTGTCAACGTCACCATTGACCAGGGGCCTACTATTACCTACTAGAAGTAAGCTATCTTTCGGTGTTTTTAAAAAAAAAGTAGCAAATCCCATCACAAATAGGGGGCAGGTTACCTTTAAGGGGGCGGGGCACTTTTAGGAAAATTACGGTACTTATATTTCATTTTGGGTGTTTCAAGCTCGATGTTTCATTTTGGGTGTTTCAAAACAGCGCTCGATGACATCCTTTCCAAATCAGACTACAATTATTTTTCCTAGTTATATGCCAAATACCCAACTTCCCTATCAAGAAGAGAGCGGAGTTATAAAAACAAGAAACATATCTCAAAGCGAACGCACGAGGTGCCAAGTCCACGATTTTCTCGTTTGGGATTACCTTTCCCAACTCCGTCTGCTTATCTCATTAGGGCGAAAATCTCCACAAAGCGACCGAACGATCTCACCGAGCGATAACTTTGAACTGTGCTTGCACTGCTAATACGTCGTACAAAAGACAGTTTGCGGACGCTGTGCGAGGTGTGTTTCCTCCTCCTATGATGGCACCAAGGCGTTGGTCATGCAAAAACTGTTTGCAGGCACGTTTGAAGCGGGCCCATGCATGAAGCAAACTTCCAACATGCTTGACTGAAGATAATTTTGTCATCGTGTCCGCGGCAAACACTGCGTCTCAGTGCTGTTGGAACGGGGGGGGGGAAGACAGGTGTTTTAGTAACATAATGTAAGCAATATGGGGCAGGAGGTGGAAAACCAGCACCGTTGACCCCCATCTTCGCAATAGTTACGACGCTGCATCTTTCAAACGTTTTTGTAGGAGCGATGCGACGGCAGCATTAGTTCGCGAGTGGCAGGCGGTGGTGCATGGGATCGCTTGCTCAGTCTCGCGCGCCCCGCACGTGCAGAGCTTCGGCGAGGTCGCTGCACCTGCAGAAAACTCGAGTTTCCTCGATGCGTTGCGGCGGCGGTGGCATAGCCAAACTGGCTGCCGACGTGGACCTATTCCGTAAGGCTCTGGATAGAAGTCGAATGATTCGTGCCGCCAACGAGATTTCAAATAATGTTTCATCCCCCTTTTTTTTTATTACGAGAAATAAAAATACCGAGCTCTAAATATATCTCCTAGCGAGGCAAAAAAAAAAAAATTTCTCTTTATCTCTCTACCCATTCCTGGCAAAGAAATGTGTGTGCGAGCGAGTGTGCGTGTCCGTGTTATATAGGGTCGTTTCCCCCAGCCGGGGGGCGTCGTAGCGTCCAGATAACGCAACTGCAAAACGGGCATCATAGAATCCGCTAGTTTCCACGAGATGCAACCCTTTAATGCCGAAGTAAAGCGGCATCACAGCATCCTGGTAAACAACATCTGGAGGTGGAGCGAATGGTTCCTTTAATTTTCGAGCGAATTGCCCATTTTCTTTCGGAGCGAAGGATAGTGGGTAGACTTCGAAGCAAGCTGCCTTGAGGTCTACCCACTACCCTTCAATCAGGGCTCGGCGTCGTTCTGACGTCACTGCAACTCCTGCGCAAGAAGCAGACGACTTGCTCTCCGCATAGCACTTATTCTCCTCTTTACAAATGTGGTGTTGGATTTCACATAGCTCGTTTGCTTATGTTCTGGATGCAATGCACATGCAGAAAAAACCATGTCATGCGCACACGCAGAAAATGGGAAGAATGGCGAGGAGCATTTTCACTCTGGATGAAAAATATTCTACAAGTCAGCCAGTAAAATCAACTAATTTGCTCCTTTTAAACCACTGAGTGCAATGCGCAACAAAAATAATGTGTGCAAGACTTATTTTAAAATAATTAAAAATCACAAAAATGTCATTTTCAAGGGGGCTAACAAAAGTTTCTCAAGTTTTTCATAAATATAAAAAAATGTACATTCCAGCCAAACCTAAAAAGTTCCATTCCACATATTCTAAAGTATATGCATGCTGAATTTGATTGTTATAAAACCAATAAGAGCAAACATTCTTGCGCACAAACTGTCAAGATGCCCCAACCCCGTGCGACGTGGGCAAGCTCACCGCCGTGGAGCTTGGCATGCAGCTCGGCGGACAGGGGACGCCCGTCGTCCACGTGGCCGCTCACGGCGGCCGCCACGGGGTGCTGGGAGAGGAGCATCTCGCACACGTTGGGGCACGCCTCTACCAGGTCCCACTCGACGCCAGACAGGCCGGACACCTCCGCGTACCTCGTCCGCGTCAGGCAGTGCTGCAGCGTGTGGCCAAACTGGGGGCAAGAGAGGACAAACGTCCTTATATCCAACGGTTCACAAGGTCCACGGAAGAGCGTCGTTCGAAAACGTCCCTTCTTCGTTGACCACATGCGAGCAGTCACGGGACGTCGCAAGACCTTCGCACCAGTTCAGTTTCCTCGCTAAATTTAGCAGGAAAATTTAAGTCACGTGACCCGACGTCGCAAGATCTATACGTGATTTCAGTATCCTCAAGAATTCAGTATTCCCACACCTGAGAAACGTCAGTCTTTCGTTTGTACAGTCGACTCTCAGTAATTGAAAGTCACATAATTCAAATCTTCGGTTAGTTTGAAGCATGGGCCTGGTCCTGGCAATCGTATGTACAATGCTATGGGGAAAAACACGTGGTAATTCGAAGGCTAAATGTTGGGAGCTGGTTAATTCGAAGGATATTTTGTCTGCGCTTAAAGTCCGGAAACCCCGGGAGCGAAAAAAACAAATGCCAAGCGCGAATATGCAACGCCACGACCCGCGGCCGCGTCACTGGCGCCGCCGCACTAGGGATGATGCAATCAGATGCATTGTGCGACGGCGCCACGGCGCGTTGCGGCTCGGCGGCAAGGAAGCAAACAGCCTTGCGTGCGCGGCTGTTTGCTTATTGGCTTTGGGCTCTGCTCTCCCACTCTGCGCTCTCCCCTCGACAGGAGAGAGGGAGATGGGTGGCGAGAATGTTGGGTTCATTCGGCGGAACCTGTGGAACGGCGCGAGCGGGAGTTTTGACAACGAAGATCCGAAAGTGTGTTGGCTCGTTCGTCACTGCGGGTTCGTCACCGTCGACGCCGTCAGCGAGAGCAGCGAGACTGGAGATATCGCCGACGAAGCTGGGCCAGAAGAGGTACCCGCAGGTAGTGAACTGAGGGAAGCCCTTGGAAATGTTCCGGTCGATGTTGACAAGCACGTCAAGGTCTCTGGTCCGCTTTCGGACATCGAAATAATCAAAGTGGTTAGGCCTGGTGTGGTGGCGCAAGGAAGTGACGAGGACTCTGATGACGAGGAACTCTCGCCACCGTCGATTCCCGCACCGAGCGCTGCTGATGTGGAAACTGCATTGGGCGTCGTAGAACGTTTTTTCTCGGGTGAAGAGAATGCCGAAGACGCCTTACGTAGCATACGTTAACTTGCAAAGCCGAGTGACGGTGGCGCGGATGCGTCAGCGAAAACAATCTAAAATCGACCAGTTCTTCTCCTAAGTGAGTACTGAATAAAATAAACTCAGTTTTAGATGTGCTTTTTTAATTCAAAGTTCGCTTAATTCAAAGCATGTTGCTGTCCCTGTGAGTTTGGAATTACCGAGAGCCTACTGTAAATGCAAGAAAAGTAATTTCAAAACAAATAAAACAATTTCCCACTTGCACATGGTAATTGGAGGTCCAAAGCTTTGTTGGGAGATCGTCATACGTTGCTCCTCTCACAGTGGCGCCACCCTCGGCAGTACACCGTACTCATATAGATACTTAGCCATGAACGCAATGACGAAACTGCACTGCTTCACGCAAATATTTTGGTACCGCTGAGTTGTTTCTACGTTTATTCATGACGTTTGCACGAAGAATGCCATGCTATTGCGTGGCAGAGGGTTGCGGCAACAACGTTCTGAACCGCAAGATGTTGACCCATGGGTTTCCGAACTATGAGAAATTCCGGAGCGCGTGGAACCGTCTCGCGTGTCCGTCGTCTCTCGGGCACCGGTGAAAACCGGCCGCCTTTGCGGGGACCATTTTCGTGATGGGGACAATGAAAGGTGACCCACTGTCCTCGGGAATCTGGGTCTTCCTACCACAAATATTCGGTTGCTACCAGGGGTTGTGCCAACTATTTTTTCAAAGAAAAGAAAAGCGGAAGAGCTCGGCGAAGCGCACGAAAAGCGAAGAAAACTGGTAAGTGAGCACGCTGTTAATCAAACACCTAATAGCTAATACCTCCAAGATAGCCAATCATCATTAAATGCCAGGCATTTCTCGGCAACACCAACCCCCTTCAGATTTTGTTGGGCGGTTGGGCTGTCAATCACCATGAGCGAGAATGACTACTCGCCTTGGCTGACATCTTCCGAGACCCCTTGGTAGTCGAAATCCTCGTCCTCTCGCGTTCATAGATCACAGCAAAACGCACCACAGACTACAAAGGCCAAAATGAATGCGCCACGACGGTCGTCGTGCAGCTGAGCAGTCCACCGCCACTCCGAAGTGCGAGATTGTACCACGAAAAAGCCACCGCGTGGCGGCACTCATAATCACACCAGCGCTTGGCTGTGACGAGGGGCCTGGAGTCCCGATTGTAACAGAGTTCCCACGATGCATTGCATGCCTTGATGGCCGATTTCAAAGCGCTCACTAGAATCAAACGCTTGAAGCACGAAATATAGCCATCCGCTGAAGATACGAACACGCGATTGTCATTTGCCGATTTTATAGATTATATTTTAACCATTTCGGAAAGGTTTCCGTATATTTTGACTTTTGTTTCTGTACCCTTTTGATGACTGCTAAGCAAATTTAAATGATCCTTCCTTAAATAATTCCTTTGGTGCATATAGGACTTCGGAAATAAAGGTTGCCATCAATTTTATTATGATTAATATCATTATTATTATGGCACACAGCTGAGCATTTTCCGAAGCGACCAATCTATGTGAGTATGCAGGAAGAAAAGGCGAGGAACAGTACAAGGTCCGAAAGCGAGAACAACATAAGGTCGCTTCCATCGCAATGCCGCAGCAGTGCAGCGAGGCAGAGCATCTGCGAGCCCACCTTGCGGAAGAGGGTGCAGACGTCGGCATAGGACAGCAGGGAGGGCCGCCCGAGGAGTGGTGGCTGGAAGCTGAACACCAGGTTGGCCACGGGAAGGGTGCCCAGGGTTACGCTTCGCCCTGTAGTCCAGGGCGAGGAGCCATTCTGTGTCTGGTGGCCACTCGCAAAAACGGTTTTACGAAGGAAGAAATGGACAGCCCAAGGCATCCGCTCCTCGCTAGTGTTTACAAACTTTCCAGTGTTCAAATCACATTTTTTCCCGAATATACGTCGATGCATCTTCTACAGTCTACAGCATGTTTTTTTTTTATAAGTATGAACCTTAAGAGTTTGTTCACACATACACCACAGCACTTGCTCGGCACTATTAGTCAGTGTTGGAAATGGCACTGACTTTAATGGTGCAGTGCTCACTGAGCTATATTAGTAATACAACAGTGATACTACTCTGCATCAGCACTAAGTAATATTTGAGAGTGTGCTTCATCAGCACTAGCTCTAGTGTGGATTTAGCGCTGCGCTGTATGTGTGAACCGGCCTCAACCGTGCAAATCAGCCGCAGGAGCTCTATTTCTCGTTCGATTCGCTGGTCAAAGTATAATGAAACTGACTCCCGCTAACGCGTTTGTCGCATTCACAATACACATAGGTACGCGGGCTTACCGGCGCAGGTTCACCACCCGAAGTGCACAAAGTACAACTTAAACAAAAGCGTGTCTTGATTAAATACCAGCTTACTTGTGAACACGGACGTTTATAGGAAGGTGCACTTTACAATTTGTGATCAAAAAGTTACGGGACTGATTTTGTAGAGTAAAAAGAGAGAACATTCGGAACTGCGCTACACGAGTTTGCTTGACCACATGCACGAGCATAATGGCGATCTCTACATAGACTGCAAACCAAAGCGGGAGCGAACATTAATTTTTCGTCAAACTCAGCAAATCTAAAACAGAGACCTCTGAAATGATTTAGAAGGCTATTTCAAAAAGCAATGAGGCGTGCAAAGTGCTTCGAGTGGCACTCGTGCCTCAAGGGGGGCAGAACGTCACTGAAGTCAAGGAGGGGCAGATGAGGTCGCCCTACTGCTCTTCCTTTTCAGGTGATGTTCTGCCATTCCTGAAGAGCAAGTGCCACTTACAGTCTAAGCTCATTATAACAGACCTTGATTTTGACCAAGATTTTTGTCTGTTGTAAAAGGAGTATGTAGTATGCAGATCTGAAGTTGAGTCAATGGTATGTAGATGAAAACCAACTGAACTACACAAATCGGTATGTTATATCCAAATGTCTGTTGTAACCAGGTCTGTTATAATGAGCTCAGACTGTAAAACAGTTTGCGGAATTCACTGCCTTTAACACGATAGCATTCTTTAGCTTCCCCCCTCTGGATTTTATGGACTTTCTGGCCTCCTCCTGACGTGCAGTAGGCCGTATTGGCGTTGACGCGGTACAACAAGCAACGTTACCAGTAATGCATTAATTCTTTTCTGGTTAATGTGTAACATACTTGTTATTTTTTCAGAACAGTAAAAACTCAAATACTTACGTTACTTATTTCGAGGAACGGGTAACCAAGACACCTTACTCGTTACTTTTTCTTCCGAAGACTTAAAAATAGTTACTCTTGTTTCTAGGCAGCAACATGTAAATTTTTTAGGATTTTTCTTTTTTTAACTTTTTTTATCCTTTTTTTTTTATTTAGGTGAAACCGTAAAAAAGGTAAAGTAATTATGTTCAGCTTCTGCATGGACATGACGTTTTTTCAAATATGGCGCTTATGCATACCTGTAATGTCAAAACAGTAAAACGTGTTAATTCATAATTTGAAAAAGCAATACGCATTACTTTTTATTGGTAAAGCTGATGCGTTCCTTTTATCTTGAAGTAACATAGGACGGTAATCCATTCTTTTATTTGCAAGTAATGAGTAACATATTTTGTTACTTTTCTTTTGTAATGCCTACAACACTGGCAGTAGGTATGTCCAGTAGACCATTTCAGCTCACATTCTCAGACTTATTCACATTCGCACCAATTTCGAAGGACCTGACGACCTTGGGGTCGTCCTAGAGATTGTTTTAGAGGTCGTCCTAAAGGCTGTCTTTGAGTTTGCCCTAGAGGTCGTCCTAGACGTCATCTTTGATGTCGTCCTCTATGACGTCGCCCTCGACGTCATCCTTAAGGTTGTCCTAGATGAATGCTATCGCAAGTCCTAGACTACGAACAATAGTTGTTTCGGCATCTAATTTATAACACAGGCCTGCTGAATCATTTCAAAGGTTTCTGTTTTATATTTGCCGAGTTTGACGCACAATTGATGTTCGCTATCACTCTGGTTTGCAGTCTATGGCGAAATCGCCATTGAACCCGTGCTTGTGGTCACAAGGACTCGTGTAGCACAGCTCCAAATGGTCACAAAGTGACACCCTTTGGTATAATGAGACACAAAGGTCCCTTCCCTCGATTGCTGCGCACATCACCGTACCGCCCTTTCTTTTTACGCTACAAAATCTGTACCAGAACTTTTTGATCACACCTCGTATAAGCAAAGGAACACGGTGCTTTCAGCATTGCACTGACTCGATCACAAATCGACTGTCTCTCGACAGAAGGGTCTCCCCTCAATGTATTTCAGAAGGGCCCCCATCATCTGCAATTCTCACAAACTGACTTGCCCGTTCAAAATCTGTGCCGCAGCACCGCCCCCTCACCGGCAATTCCGGACACTCACCCCTGGCGGCCTCCATCCAACTGCCGGCGTGCTTGTTTGTCCGTGCGTACGGGTCGAGGAAGAAGGAACCCGCATGGTTGCCTGCAAGGTGCTTGCCCACTCATTTGATAGTCCAGCTTAAGCTGGCACACTCCTCTTTAAGGTAAAGAATGCTAACTAAGTGCAATCACAGTTTTGAAATCGCGGAAAAAAGGAAAGTAACATTAAGGACAAGGACAGGATGAAACGTCTTTCCACTAGCAGCAATCCAACTGGACGTACAGTGAAATATTCACAAATTTTTCAGGAAACTGTGTTAGGAAAATTGCTGACCTGAGAAAATACGACAGCTAATAGTGCTTTATCAAAAAGTATTATAAGATGAAAAACAAAGCAACTTTTACGGAGCAGTTTATTTCTGTCGACCTTCCCCAGTTGTGAAGAGCTACCAGATTAATCCACATATAGGTTGACTTTGTTTTCAGAACTTCAAAATTAGTCGTGGATGTACAGTTTTAATCAAAGGATATCCACCTATAAGAGTGGCCAAATCTACAAACCAGCCAAGCCAACCTCTGTGCAGCGCATTTTGGTCTGCTTCTTTTGCAAGGTTTGTGATGACGTCAGAAGGCTGAGCTCTGATTGGCTGTGATTGAAGCATAGGGGGTAGACCTTGAAGCTAGCTGCCTTGCGGTCTACCCACTATCCTTCAGTCAGAGCCAATCAGAGCTCAGCGTTCTGACGTTGCCACAACCTCTGCAAAAAAAAGCAGACAAACTTGCGCTCCGCATACATTGTTTCACCGCAATTTGGCAAACTGCTGCGGTCCCCTCCAGCCAATCAGAGAGATGGAGACGAAGCATGCGATAGCCCTTACCAAAAGTACAGGGGCAAAATTGTAACCCAAGCATTTGGAGAAGTGAAGGAGAAGGAACTCTCCTCTTACCAAGACCCTCCTTTGCGAGTCCCAGACGTCGCTTTTCTTTCCCTCAATGAGTAGCCCGTCACTCAAATTCATACAAAAGCTGCTTTCTTCTCTCCAACCCACGGCTTTGACGGCACTGTGCACAACTAGTGAGATGGAGTATAGTAGTGTGTCTCCTTCCAATGCACTGATTCGCTACCTGGGACAGTAGCCTTCGCAGTTTGTCAAGTTACAGCGAGATGCAACTTAACCGCCCCCACCTATCTTGTCATCAGAAAAAATGCATTTTGGAAAAAGTGTTTTGGGAACACGATAGATTGAGCTAATTGTTTTACTTCCATCATGGCTATTATCCACTCCCAGAAATACTGCACAGAAGCTTACATTTCATTCAAAAACTTCACGCGAAATACAGCAAAGGGCATCTGAAAAGCAGTTTTCGAAGCATTTTACAACAAAGACAGATTCAGTCTTCTTTCAGTTAACCTCTAAACCTGGGGGGAGAAAATGTCTGCTCTGTGTATACAAAAGTTAACAGAGACGTTCCAACTGCAATGTGCCCGCCTTGTGATGTCACTTTTTGATGGCCCATATTTTTGTTTGTTTAGGGGACTTCTGTTTCAGTATGCTCCTTTAACGTAACAGAACGGCGGATCTAAGTCGTTCAACCTCGTGCTTCATGGTGAACACTGAAATCTAGAAATTACTAATCAATTCAGTGTTAAACGACTGTCAAAACGAGGAAGTTACGGTTCCGAATAAACAAAGGCCGCGTGAAGCCGCAGAGAAGAGTGACCTCAATGTGCCATTTGTAGTACAGTAAAACCTTGTTATAACAAAATGGGATATAACAAACTAATGGATATAACAAAGCAATCATAATTACCCTTGCTTGCTAATAGTGGGAAGAAATGGACATTGGCTATAACAAACTAATGGTTATAACGAAATAATTACGACCGCTCCTGCAACTTTGTTATAACGAGGTTTTACTGTACCGTGTCTCAAAAAATACAACACAAAAATGTGTCATAGGTTGGGTTGCAGACATTATTAAACCTATCGCCCATAAAATAGTGCTGTTTTTAAATAAAATTTTTTTCTGAAGCATGCTACAATGTTACTGAGACCAAAATATTCATTTGCCATGTTGGCAAAAAGAAAAACCGGCACTCAAAGGGTTGATTTCTGACGAATCCAAGACATGCTACTGGTGCCTCTTTGGCAACATCTTCCCTTTTTGTAATGTGGCATAAAACGTGGTGTAATTCCGTGTTGAAGGGCATGAGGAGCTCACCAGACGCATCCAAGATGTCGTAGGCCTTCACGTCCGGGTGCCATGCCTTCGCCGAGAGGCTAGACTCCTGTCAATGAGAAGCGGAAGCGAGCGACAAACCGATTAGAGTGGGTCGAGAAAATTTCCTTCCGCACCAGAGAATAAAACAACATGGGGAGCAAAAAGAGTGGTCCCGCCAAGAACTGCCAGGCTAAGGCTAGAGTGAAAGCCAGTTGGCTCAACATGAAGGCAGCCAGGCTAGCCTGGGCAGGTTGCATGGCAGGGCAGTAAAAACACTGTCGAGACAAATGAACCACATCAACCACCTGGTCAGAGCTTTGTGCAGAGTTCTTATCATTATAACAAACATTAGGGGGTGCACAAAATTTCCAATTTTCAAATAACTAATCAAATATCACCCTAATTTATTTAAATCAGTATCCGAATCTGATAAATATTCAAGGCTTGAAATATTTTTAAAATGATTTTTTAATAGTCGAAGCAGTGGAATGTCACGGGTGTCCCTTCACAAACGCCAAGCTGTCATGTACCTTAAATGGTAACTGAAACACAATCCTAGCACCTTTTTTATTATCTAAATGTCAACCACGTTTGGCCACACCACAGGGACAGTAATGTTTTGCTTGAAAAGACATCAAAACCCAATTTAAAACAAATAAACAGAATGTGATTACATCACACTCCACATAAAATTAGCCCCACAATGTGCAAGTACTGAGGCAAAGCTGCGTGCACGCGAGCCTTGTCGAACTTGGTCGAACTGGATTTCCTTTTTCTCCCTCGCCTATTCAACTCCTGCGGGGAGTAGGCAAAAGCAACTCGAACGGCCAAGTAGTAACGCACTGATGTCTCCAAGTGGAACAGTTCACAACGCCAGTCCCCATGTAGCCTTGGCCGTGAAGGAAAACCAGATGCCACGAACGAGCTGGAGGTGCCGGACCTCCCGAGACGCATCGCCCGTTTGTGACGTCTGCTTTTTCTTCACGACCAAGGCCAGATGGGGGCTGGCGTGGCTGTGAGCTCTGCCAGTTGGTGGTGTCAATGCATTACAACCTGGCTGTTTGAGTTGCTCCTCCCAACCACCCTGCAGGAGTTGAATAGGCGTGGCAGAAAGGGGAAATCCGGTTCGGATACGTTTGACAAGGCTCGCGCGCACGCAGCTTGCTGCCAGATTTTTGCAGAATGGTGCTGCCTTTATGTGGAGTGTGACGTAATGGCCTTCGGTTTATTAGTTATAAATGTTGTTTTGATGTCTTTCCAAGCAAAAAAAATGGTGTCTTTGTGGTGTGGCCAGAACATCGCCACACCACAAAGACTTCTTATATGTCGTTCCGTGTCCCTTGTCCGTATCCCTCGTATCCCCAGTCTCGGGTTTACAACTATGCTCAAAACTCGAATTAGTTTTATTGTTTTATGGATGAAATGCTCATGAAAGAATGCTTTTTAACGTCAGTTGCTTGGATATGTGCAATGAACACCGCCGATCGGCATACAGCGAGAATGTCTGTTTCGTGAAAGCACATTTCCAACACCGCTATGTTGTCTTCATTGGTAAAAAAAAGAAGAAAAAAAAAGTGTCAAAAAGAAAATAGAAAAACTAAACAGGGGCAACGAACGAGTGAGCGACTAAAGGAAGCGATGATGATGCTGGGGAAGGAGGAAAACCGGCAATCATGTTGGCAAATACTTTGGCGTCGGGCCAAAGTTTGGCGTCTTGTCAGTCGCAAGGAGCAGGCTCTTATGCAACTTTCTTGTATGATGCATAGATGCACACCTTTGTGCACGGCGTGCTATCAACGAGGGTTGAGGCGGCGTTGCTGCGTGGCGTGGACGGCACCACGAAACAGAGGTCGAAATGGGACGCTTTACAAACGTCTGTGTGAGGCGTGCCAGCAAATGTTTAGTTGCCCGTCGGCTTTGTGTCACCCACTGCACAACCTTACCAACCGCGGTCGTGACCTTGCAGGAGAGGGAGAGGGTTCGCGATGACCTTATTTCAATGAAGACAGACCTTAACCTTACACTCCTCGGTTACATTCCAGGATATAGGGCGTTCACTGACCTCATGATCCCTGAATGGGTTAATTACTGCTTGTGTTATCTTTCAGACTTTTTTCTTTTTTTTTTTTTGACTGTAGAAACATTTTTGTAGGCAAAACAAAGTTTTGTTCTGTTACCTCTATCGTTTTCCTTTGGCAAGCATGTACTCCAACTTGGGGGTCATGGAAATCGGGGACGAAATGTGTAAACAAAGTGTCTTTCCCTCCCTCGTTTTACTTCGTCACGGAAATCCTTCAACTACAAGGTTCACAGCTGCATCATTCGGGTAAGATGAATGTTCGTGGATAGCGGAGTTCATGCTGGGGTATTAGTAGGGGTGGGCCGATCACTTTGTGTTTTTTTGGAAAACATTATTCACCTAAAAAGGTGGGGCGGGAGATGACTTGTGGATGGGCAACCACTCGGAATATTACCGTAGTTGAAAAAAGGCTCTTTCTAGATCATGTGTCCCTGTCAAACTTGTTATTGTGGCAAGGGGTAACGAAGCAGAAATGACGGCATCCCAGTCAGCAATGTCCACTTATATCCAGCCATAGCTAACTGGTCGCATTTATGCCAAAGTCATCATTAATCTGAACACTTCAGTGTTTACAGAAAAACAAAAAAAAAAAAACAAATCAAGCCGAAAATAGGAGTGGGATATCTTTCGGGGGTGGGGCATCTCAAAATATTAAGGCAATCGTCCTCAACTAGCTTCGCTTCCTTGTAGTGAATTCTAGGAAACCGTGTGGACAGTCGATTGCATTCTTCTCAATTGGGTGCAAGGGTTACGGAACCTTTGGAATTCGTAAGGGCGTTCTTGGGGTCCCCAAAAGTTATTCAAGCCAAGCAATATTTTATTATTTTTATTTTAGTGATGCTGGCTGTCCTACAAAGTTCGCCAAACCATATGCGCTGGGTGAGTAGAGTTGATCACTCTCCGTTTCGGAGTCGTCTAATACCTCAATGATCAAGAAAGGATCCCCAAAAACATCAGTAATTGAGAACCACTGTTGTAGACAATGCGGTCTTCTATATAGACAAGTCAGCCCACTATTCCAAAACACTGCACAAATTGCAGAAGTGTTTAGAGCTGGGTCAGTTGGTACTGATTTATAGTGCAAAACAGAGCGGACAAAAAACAGAAACCAAGAAATACAAGCATGGCAAACGAGTGCTCGTCTCTTGTACTTGGCTTTCTTGTGTGTGTTTTCATTATTAAAGAAATATTTACAGTCAAATCTCGTTAATTCAAACTCAAGGAAGACAGAAAATTTGTTTGAGTAAAGCACTTTGAATTACTGGCAGTTTCCTCCGATAGAGACACATTGGATGGAACCTGCAAGTTAGTTTATATTAAGAGTTTGAATTAACGAGACTCGACTGTAATTAGTGTTTGTACTCTACTCGGTGACACCATTATTCGATTTGGTTATTAAAGTCACCATATGCACACCTTAAATGAACATCTTTACGGTCAATTATATCTCGGCGCTAAAGTTCCAAGTACTTTCGGATCTCTTTTATTTTATTTTTTTTTTTTATTTTTAATGATTAGGTTATGTTTTTACTCCTCCCTTTCAACTCAACTTCAGCCTGAATTCCACTACTCGATCATGGTTACATGGGGAGAAAAACAGACACTTGTAGCTCAACGTAGACATTACAAAGAGAGGGTTCAGGCTACCTTGACGGTGATGCCAAACAGCCGGTTGCACAGCCGGTACAGACCGTCCAACACCGTGGGCAGAGGGAAGTACTCCCTCACTTCAGCCTCGTCATACCTGCGAGACATCGCAACATCAGCAGGAAACCAAGCGCCGTCTTTGCTATAGGGTGAACCCTCACTACGGTACTTGGAATGCATCTTCGACTGGTGTGTTTAGCGTCCCATCTATTCAACGTACTAAAAGTGGTTCCCAAGTGGCAACAAATCACACCGCAGAACCGGCGTGTCATGCCTTCAAATTCTGCGGTTTTGGCGGTTGGTACTAGTGGTTCTGGCAAAAAGCGCGAGCGAAAGTGAGTGTCGCCGTCATCACGGTGTCCTAACTCTTGGCTGCCAAAGCTGCCGTGGACTGCCGCACTGGAGAGCGACCTGTAGCAGAACAAGAGTCTGTCACATCCACGACTGCTGCCCCGACACTGCCAGAATCATAAACGGCGACGCCGTGACGCTTCCGCGATGTCAGCGGACGGAAAGCGAGGGTCTGCTTTTTGGGATGCGGTAAACACACCAGTGAGAGACCTGTTCCAGGTGCCATACCCTCACTAACGACAAGTTGAGTATTTTGAAATAGCAGTTAGTCATTTAATAATGTATACTTTATTTTTTTTTTATATAAACAGGTTCAAGTATTTAATCGTGACAATCATTATTTGTGTCTCCCCCTCGAGTAGTTCTTGTCGAACACAACAAAAAGCCTCAGTGCTCAAGAGCAAAGACAAAAAGTTTTGCAAACTTGATCGTGCTGACAATGACTGGCAAGCACAGAATGTGTGCTATTATGCCTTCCAGGGAAGAAGAAAAGGGAGTCTCAACAGCACTAGCTCAAGGTGCCGAGTTCAAGTCCTGCCAGGGAACTAATGTCTTTTTATATGGCTTCCTATGAACGTAACGCTTTTCGGTGTCCGTTTTTCGTTACAACCAAATGTTACAGAGCTCCATAAAAATCGGCTGATAAGACACGCCATGTTAAAAAAATTTCCTGGCTCGGACATTTTGTTAAATGCCATGAAGGTACAATAGCACTCAATGAGGCTCTCAATGAGCAGAACTTTCTATCGGAATGATATGCAATGTGACACCTGGCAATGAATTGAGATGCGAATGTACGAAGGACTTTTCCACTTTTTTGTCCTTTCAGGGAATTGCATCGTTTTCTCAGAGATTCTACCGCGCTTACAACCTGGCCGTGAAATGCCTCTGTTCCAACTACAAGAGTCATTCAAGGTTGATTGGAACTTTTATTCTTACTGAGGAAATGAAAAACCCAAGAAGAAGGAGCCTATGCTAGCCTCCGTATCCCCCAGTGTCTCCAGGCACCACTGCCATAGTTTTGGCAGCTCTCCGATTCGTGCGGCGTAGCAAGAACTGGACTGAGCAACTGTAGTCGGTGGAACGTGCCGGTGCAGCACATTTGACACCAGCTGTCGTGCTTCAAAAAAAAAACTGTTGACACCGTTTGTTTGTGCACTCTTGTCTGTAACAATGTTTGTTCCCCATACTGTGCTTGAAATCTTCTCAGAATTTCAGCTGGATTAACTTTCTCCTTCACCAGAAACTTGATTATGCAATTTGACACGTCCTCTGCAAGTTTCATCATGCTACACATGTTCAGCAATTTTTTGTAGACAAAAGTCCAGGTCAAACTCGAGCGACCCTTGTAGATAACACGCGGTCCCTTTCTTTTTGCGCGGCACTAAGCCATTGGTCGCATGCGCTATAATGTCAGTCCATGCAAGGGGGTCAGCCATGGGAGAGAGTCAGCAATGGGTGCAGCTCCATTGCTGTCTCTCTCTCCCATGGGCTTGCTCGCTGGGGCACGACAAACCCGAACACAGAAGGTCGGTGGAAAGTTCCCATAAAAAGCTGCCAATTTAAAGGGGCGATACAACAATTCTTGTACTTTGCACAATTACCGCTCAGAATGAATTGCTGATGTTTAAAACACACAAAGCATGCATTAGTTTTTCTCCCCAAACACTCTCTAATAGTCGAAAGAAAAAAGAGAGCAGCATTTATCTCCATAACTTGCAGCCAGAACAAGCGGCCACACAAACTGGAGAGGATGATATGCCGTCAATATTTGTCGTAGCCACGCGCTGGAGCTGGCAGAGCACCGAATGCACACCGAGCTACAGACATTGTTAGCGCTCAGCTATTGTCACTGCAGCGATTGGGTGCGGAATCCTACTGGAATGCTTGTCGAGCTATCAATTATCAAGAGGCCAAACCGAATGCTCAGTCCAATCTACGAGCCGCATTCAGATATCGTCACTGGAGGACTATGCCAACACTGCAACCTCCAAGCTACACAATAAATTTTTGCAAAAGAGAGACCGAAAGAGAGCGTCCACTTTTATCCCTGAAATCATGCGGCGACAAAGAATTTCCTCGGTCAGTGGCATCACGTACGAGTATACCAGGGTCCCTCTGGTGCCAGTAAGCTTGTACAAAGTGGGGAACGTTCCTGCCCAATATCGTTGCACGGCCGCTTTGAAAAAAACCCGAGCGACGCGGCTGGTGCCGTCGCGTTGTTGTCGAATGTCCGTTCACCTGAACACCGCCTGCCTCTGCTTGCGCCGCCAGTAAGGCACGTCCCAGAGCTCCAGCTTGTCCCTGAAGCCCCGCTCGGCAGTGAACTCATGCAGGGACCTCACCTCTTCCTCGGCAGCAGGCTTCACCCGTTCCCGCAGCCTGAAAGTATAGACCCTATTTGCCAAAGTGCTCGTGCAAGCGAGGCGCCTTCAGAGCCAAAGCAACAATTTTGTTGTTTTTGTTTGTATTTTTGATTTTTAAGACTAGTTTTAGAAGAGGTGTGACCCCTTGAAAAAGGGGGCATGGAAAGGGCATGACAGAATCGTGCACTCTCAAAAATGTGATCAAGCAAATTTTTATTATTTTTTCCTTAGGCTTACGTTTGGGTAGATTTGGGAATATTTCGGCCGATGAATGCTTTTCTGGTAGGGCGGGCACTTTATATGTACTTCGCACTGTCCCCAAGGTCTCCAAAAATTGAACTGGTGCTTCCCCGGCATTTTAAGGTACACAGCACCATGGTCCTTAGATAAACTACTTCCTGATCTGGAAACTTCAGTGGTTTGCACCCTAGTAAATTTGTCACCAGAAACAGTGTTGATGCAAGTAGGACTAAACAAAAGTGGAAAGAAATTAGAAATAAAAAAAAAATAAAAGCATCTTAAAAATTTTTGCCAACTTTTTTAAAAGCAGATGTAGCAACCGTCACGCACCACCTCAATTATTCTGATGTAGTCTGACCCCTAGGTCTCAAGTACAGATGGTGTTTTCCATCACTCATCTTTTTGAAAGGTTTTTTTCCTGATTCAGAATCAGGAAAGGTACAGCAGGGACTCTCAATACTGCTGCCCCCCCCCCCCCCCCCCTTCCCCCCCTTTTCGGGCCCTTCATCATGGGGAGGGGACGGTATGAATGATTACAATGACAAAAAAGTAAACAAAAAAAACTTAATAGCTTTAAAACAGAAAATAATACACCCCACTCCCTGGGCACTTATGGTTTGGTCTATTTACTTCTGTAAAACAGCAAACATCAATAATTAAAAAAATTGACTATTGCTTGGCTTGACTGATGGTTGAGGGCTCCGGGGGCCCAGAGAACGCCTTCAGGGACCCACACTTTGAGAACCACTGGAGTAGACGCATGCAGTAACTTTCTCCGCGATGGCTTCTCCGAACCGACATCTATCTGTCAGCTTCTTCAAGCGATCTGACGGGTTGACTCTCAATTTTGGCAGTTGAAGTGCCTCTGGTGCTTTAATTTGTCCCTAGGGAAAGCATTTGCATAGCGTGACGAAAAGAATCCAGACCAGGTAACCCAAGGACCGCGACGGCACGTTGCGGACCAGCGCTGCCAGACAGCATTGAAGGGGTGCACTCACGCTTCGATGGTGGCCTGCACGTTCTCCAGGCTGCCGGCCATCTTGGTCTCCATCGAGAGCTCCACAAAGTTCTTGTAGCCAAGGATCTCTGCCTGGGCCTGCCTGGGTACAGAGAACCAGCTTAGACAACCAGCAGTGACATACACTCAAAGCCTTCAAAAGCTTGCTACGACGAACACTTTACCGTTATTGGCGAGGTTTTGTGGCAGATCTCAGTGTGTGTTTCGTGCAAGTCGTGGCACGACACCACATCACAGTGCCACATTACAGCATCACGTGAAGTCGCAACATAACGTGACATCGCGAAAAATCTCTCCCGTTAAATTTAGCGAAGGAATCTTCCATGGTGCCACACAACAGAATGATGTTGCGTAGCACCACGACATGACACTGCAATGTCACGAGACGTGATGTTTGACGTTGCTGGATCGACTCGGTTATGGAACTCCCACGGAAAAGCGAACTCACCCCCTCTCCCCCCAAAGACCACCATCCGTCAGTCGGAGTGCCATCCAGAGACTTTGATTCAAAACTGTATTCTTCCTAGACGCTACAGTGAAATGCCATCTAGATGTTCTGCTTCAAAAGCTGCGTATTCTATGGAGTAGAATGTAATTACCATAGCAGCCGTCCCCAAAACGGTGGCGCGTCAATGACACAAGGTAAACCTTCATGGGAGGGTCAGGGTACTGCTCGTGGAAGTAGCGTATATGGGCAGTTCTGTAACCCAGTTGATCTAGTAACATTGGTGATGCCATTACGTCTTGTGAGGCCATGACATCATATGACACTGACTCCACATAATGTCACGGTTAGTGTGCAGTAAGTAGTCTGTGTGCACCCGCGTGTGCGGCGCCTCGTCTTGCAGTTTGTTTGCACGATGCGGTAGGGAACAGGAAATTTATTACATTATATGAAGCATTGCAGTTGCATTAATTTGGCTAGATTGCTGCTCTCTTTTCAGCTTGCGGAGCTCCAGTAGGGTTTCCAGAATATGGCTTCTGCAAAGCGGCAAGAAATGTAGGACAATGTCGTGCTACACTCCTTCCAGCAGACTGTCTGGGGACATATCGGTGATCTGTCTGCGCCATTTTTCCTCTTTGTTTTCCCATTCAGTGAAGCCTCATTAACTTCAAGTAAAGAAAACTGGAAAAGAATTTTGATATAAGCAGAGTATCGGGATAAGTGAGTAACCAAACTTTCATTGCGCGGATTACACACTGTGCAAATAGAACCCTTCTAACAATCGCTCCAATGGACTTGACACTTCCTTGTGCGGAGCCGTGGGGAGAACAAAATGACCGCAGCAAAAATATCAACAAGCAACGCTCACCAGATGAAACAGCAAAACCAAGAAGTAATAATGCAAAAACAAAGAAGGGCAGAGGGGGAGAAAAAATATTTTTATACAACAAATGCCCTCGAGGCGCATGCTGCTCTGCACAATGCCACATGCGTGAGCATGGAACCTCTTTTTCATTTTGCCTCACGTTTGATGATGCAGAACTTTGTTTTTCGTTTGCTTTTACTTTTGGATTGCTGGTTGTTGTTTTTTTGTCAACCAATGGTTGAGCCACCGTGTTCAATGTTCACTGTGCCCTGCCAAATTTTTCTTTTTTAAGCTTTGTTGACAAGATTTCGAGATATCCGAGGTTCTTCCTTAAAAAGCCTTTCGAGATTAGCGATGAAGAAATGCACTGTGTCTATGGGAGTTCATTACATGGCAAGAAAATCGTAATAGATATTCGGAGATAGCTGAGTTCGAGATAACTGCACACGTTGTGCACATAGCGAAGTAATGCAACGGACCTTTTTCACGTAACGACGACACCAAGTGGCTAAGAGACCAACCACGGTTGGTAAAGGAAATGGGAGCTGCGATACCTTTCCTGCCTTCTCTGCGGCTAATCAGTCGTGGGAAAGGTAGTGCAACCATTCTTCTGGAAGCTAACCGAAGTTAGGGCTTTCGTCGCTGTGAGAAGAAGGCTTGAGCAAGTGCAGAACCCTTCTTGAAAAAGGTCCATTGGGCAGTAAATATAAGCATCAGACGGCACTTTCCGGGGTAAAGCAAAAAAAAAGGGGTGAAACGAGACAAAAAACACAAATACAACGGATATGCCAAGGCCACACAAAGTCACAAAGAGGGCACAGAGGCAAGATGAAGCAATCTATAGTCCGTTGCAACTCAAGAAGGTAGGGCGAGGGTAAGGCTGGTCGGGGAGGAGGAAGCAGACGGAACGCTGGAGAAAGAAGGTTTCCCCCTCTCTTCTCCAGCGACCCACCACTATTTCTTTACTAGGTCTGCTATTGTTTTTATTAGTTACCACAAAGCAGCCCACTTCTATAGTCGGTGACAGACAAAGATTTCAGGGGAATCTCCTCCCAGCTCTTCCCACTCCAGCAGAGCAACGCCGGAAAGAAGGTCGCCTGCTCTCCATCGTTTGCTCTGCTGAAGTGGAAAGGGGTGGGACGAGCTTCCCCTGAGCTCTTCACCTGTCAGTGACTCCCGTAAAATCCCGAGAGATGCCCCACCCCCAAAGGCCACTTGCCCCCTATTTTTGGTAGCCAAGAGTTGGGACTCCACAAAGACGGCAACGCTCGCATTCTCTCACACATTTTTTCGCAACTTTTACGCCCAACCGTCCAAAGCGGTCCCATTTGGGGACCGCTTTCGACGTGCGGGTGGGACAGGACGCCAGACACGCCGGTCGAAGACACGTTTGAGGCATCTCCCGGACCGTGGCGAAAGAGACCAACCTCTGGCAGCGGATCTCCTCGATGTGGAGGCTGTTGTTGAGTTCCTTGTTGGCGAAGGAGGCCCGCGTGTTGTAGGCGTTCCAGACGTTCCAGCGGTGTAACCGGTCACCGCAGTACTGCAGGAACCCCTCGTAGACGTCCTCCTGCAGGGTTACCACCCAGGGACCTCGTGACGGGTTCGTCCTGGAAACAAAAGATGTGCGTCGGTCGACAAAAAATGCGAAACGACAAGCTCGGGACTGCTCGAGAGCGGGGCCATAAACCATCTAGGTTTGGGTAAGTCCGAACCAGCGACTAGGTACTCTTTGGGTATCTGCAGTACAAACTTGGCCGAGTTTCTACTTGGATATTTTTGTGAGAAAAATGCACAACCGAGCCACACTTTCGTGGCAAATTAGAACGTCGCAGGTCAAGCTGTTGACATTTTAGACCTATTTAAAGAGGGTTAGATTTATGCGGCTCTCGTTGTAGAGAAGCGCGGCCCAAATGGGAGCACTCACTTGTCGACTGCCAGCCGCCTGACCAGGTCCTCCGGAAAGTTCCTGACCATGTCCCCGTCCACCCTGTGCCTGAAGACATCCATTGCCTGCTGCAGCTTCTGCCTGCACACCGCACCCTCCATCAGAGGTCCGTGCCGTTTACACCCGTCGACGCCGTCACATGCATTACGGAACCTAGAATGTGTCTCTTCGCCTCAGTTGCAACCGGTGCCACCAGACTACTCTTCGACGACCAGTTAGTGACTGCATGTTGCAAGCCCGGTTTCCCATGTTTCTCTACAGGAGACATGCTCATTTCTAGTCGTTTTCGGCGTGTGCTGCATCACGTAGAACTTGGTCCTTGCGCTACAGGAGTCACTTAGACGCGGCTTCGTCGTCGACCTTAGTTCCGTGCCTCAACGGTAGCAAGAACAGTTTTATGGATGCACTAAAATGGTGAGATCTCTGGTGCTGTGTTCGAGCCAGCGTCCATCAAGGTTGAAGCAGACGTGCCGAGTGGAGAGCGCACGCGCAGATGTGCCGTGGCAATGAGACACTTTTATTGTTTTTGTTAGTTTTTTTTTTCTGCCGGCGGAGACACGGTTGGCTAAGGCTCCTGATGCGTGCGACAAGAGTACTTTACCCGATCAACCGCGTTGCGGTGTTTGCCGTGCTGTACCTCTCCACACCTATACTATATAACTTGTATAAGGGACACGGGAACTCGTCAAGTTGCAGGCCTGCAGCTTTTTTCCAGCATCCCTGTGACAAGTTTAGTTCATGGTGAAAAAAAAATTGCGGTGGCTTAGCTCGGCTATACGTAGCATGAGCTTATGCGCACACAATGAGAGGCGCTAAAGAGCGGCTCCGGTGCAGCGTCAGACTTGGCTACTGCACAAAGGAAGGACAAAGCCGGGCCTGCGGCGGCGCCAGTGCGTCTGCTGCAGCTATGACGTCACTCCTCTGGCATGCGCAGACCGGCGAGGCAGGCGCGGCGGCGGCGGCGGCTGCTTCGCGTGGCTCTCATAATGAGCCGTGCTCATTAGGCGGAGCTCCGCCGCCGCCGTTGCGAGCTCCGCATAATGAGCACAGCTCATTATGGGGGCCACGCGAAACTGCTCAACCTCGGCCAGTGTAGCTAACGCTACAATAATATTATTTGATTTGATTTCATTGCACCGTGGTTACACCCGACATCCGTTCGTCCCTGCACCCATGGAGCCCCAAGAACGACTGCTCGGACCGACCTGTAGAAGCCGGCTTCCCGCGCCGTCCTCTCGACCGCCTGGCTAAGCAGCTTGCTCGCGCTGCCTGTCAGGTCGACGCCCATCAGCCGGGCCTCCAGGCAGTGCTTGCGGATGATCCGACGCTGCTCCTCGCTGTACAGATGCGAGTCCGTCTGCAGCTCCTGCAAAGAACCACTCCCCGTCTGTCACGCTCGCCCGTCATCAATGACTCAAACAAATTTTTCTTTGCTTCGGCAGCATTAAAAAGACAATGAAACACTTCTCTTACTTTAACAATATTTAAGGGCGAATGAAACAATCTTCCGACTTAAACAATATTAAAGGGACCATGAAACTTTTCTTGTTACTTTTGCGGATATAAGGGCTTTTCCCTTTTAAAATAATAAGGGGACCTCAAAATTATTTCTCACTTCACCCGCATTGAAGAGACCATAAAATATATTTTTCCACTTAGGCAAGCTAGTGCATGGAAAACACACTGCACATTAATACAACATATGGAGGAGGGATGGGCATTTGTTTGCATGTGTCACAATTTGCAAAACGAGCGCATTTATGGGGTTCGCAATCTACTCACCCCTCGACTCTCCGTCTTTTCCCACAACCCCACTCCATCACGAAACAGACGAGGAAAGTACCACCCTCGATAGTGGACGATCTGCTCCGCCAAACTCGTCAGAGTTTGAAGATAGGACCAGAGAAGCAGCGGAACAAGGAACACACTGCAGTCAACAACCGCTTTGGAACACGAAACCTCAAAGGCTGTCCAAACAGGACATTGCACATGCCATTTGTGGCAAAAAAAATAAAAAATGCGTACACCTCTTGAAAAGCATGGGGTCGCGGCACGCATGTCCATTTTCAGTGAGGATGTCAACCACGCAAAAACAGTGTGGCTTTCCTTTTAGCCTCCTCACTGTCGTGTCTTCCCCTTTTTTGTTTTTGGGAGATTGGGGACTGACAATGTCAGCGGAGGCCTTCACGACAGCCGGCAGAGCCTGTGAGTGGCTGTCCGGACCCCCAAGGTGAGCATGGTCCAAGCCTCTGTTGAAGGACATAAGCAGAGAGCACCTTCTGCCCAGGCAAAAAACAAAATGTGCCAAAGTGGACTAGAACTGAAGGAAAACCTCCACTTCCGGTACAGAAAATGCCGTGCTCAGCATTTGCTGTGACCTGTTTGGGGAACACTGGCTTCTGGAACCTGGCACCAACAGGACGATCGCCTGTGGGAGCAGAGTTTTTCTTCGCCACCCAACGTTTCACTATGCCCAGTACACTATGCAGGGTGTTTTTCTTTAAGGCTTGACAGATTTGTTTTAAGAAAGACGGGAAGGCTCCGCTAAAGCAGTATGTGCAGGTCAGCTATACAGCCAAGGGGACAGAAAATACAGACTACGGCATGAGAAGTCGGATAATTAACTAAAATTTGTCAAATAACTTTTTAACTAGGGAAGATAAAGACATGCTTCCAATCAGAAGCTTGCCGAGCGCTGTCAAAAACCACTAAATGACTACATTTTAAAAAAGATTTGGAGCATGTTGAGGTCGGAACACAGGCGCGCGAAAAGCACACGCTCCAGGGTACCATGGCAACCCCACTTTTAATGCGATAGCATTCTTTAGATATCCCCAACACACCGATTTCGTGGACCTTACTGGCCTCCTAATGTTCAGTTTCCCTGCTAGTGGAAAAATTGCCATCACCTGACTTACACACCAATTCAGTTTCCCCACTTACCGGAAAAACTGACGTCACATGACCTATACACCAATTCAGTGGGAAATTTGATGCCACATGACCCAACATCACACGACCTACAAACCAACTCAATTTCCCTGCTGAATTTGGCGGAAAAATTGACGTCACACGGCCTTTGCACCATATCAGTTTCCCTGTTAAATTTAGCGGGGAATTCAATGTCATGTGACCTGACGTCATGGGACCTACAGACCAATAAAGTTCCCCCCCAAAATTTAGCAGAAAAATTGACTTCACGTGATCGCACAGCAACCTCGCACAGCAACTTCTAAGGCTCTAGGCCCTAGAGGTTGTTCTAGACGCCGCCCCTGATGTTGTCCATGGCCTTGTAACAAAAGAAGAAGGTAAACACGACAAATGCTATTGCAATTTATAGACAGCCAACAATAGTAATTTCTGCAGCCATTTTCCTTTCTTTTTTTTTTCTTCAGTTGCATAGATTGGCCGGCAAAGACGTTGTGGGCATTGGCTACTCGGGCGTACGCCAGTAGGACCTTATCTGGTCAAACGCATTGCAGCAGTTTCTGTGGTGACCGTCCTCACTTACAGCGTATCTTACACTGTGGGTCTGGCTCACCTTGACTGCATGGTAGATGGGCAAACTTTGGAACCTCTTGGCCTTGGCACGATGCACCCGGGAATGGAGCTGCAACATTTCACCCAGAGGCATTAGGTCATGAGTCGTGACCAAGGAGCCGTCCGAGGGCATGGACGACGCCATCGGACCGGTAATGCTCAACTTATCTGCAGTTAATTGCCGCACGGAACATTAGGACATGGAGGGCACAGGCACAAAAGGAGGAGTGGACAACCGGGGAACTCCCGATAACACAGCAAACTGAGAAAAAGCACCGTAGTGAGCCTCAAACTACAAATGAAGCGGGGAAGTGGCTCCTATCCTGTCAAGACTGTATTTCTGCCCTGCAGTCTGTAACGGAAGTGCTTGCCCCTGTCGCATTTTACGTCAGTTGTCAATTTTTTGCGTATAACCGGATCCCTCAGAAAGCAAACCAATATACAGTGAAAGAGAACACTTTGCACCAGAGTTTGCCAGACTCAAGGTAACGCTCAAATGTTTTGTTGACAACATTATTTTTGGGCAAAATTGTCATTGTAGCGCAACACGAGTGTGGTAATGAGCATGAGCGAGCAAGCAGATTTTATACAATTCTGTTGCAACAGCACTGGTAGGCCAGCTACGCTAGCCCGAGCACATTTTCAATCATGTACAGTAAAACCTCGTTATAACAAATCGAATATAACAAAGCAATCATAATTCCCCTTGCTTGCTAATACAGTGTAGACCGCATATAACGTATGTCGCGGGAGTCGCGAAAATCCGCACTATAAGCGGTACCACACTATAACCAAAACATCAATTTTTCAGGCCAAAATACATGCCATCAGACAACTTACCTTTGTAAAAGAATTTATTTTATGTTAGATGAAAAATAAAGCTTAGTTTGAGGAAAGTCTTTATTTCACCAGACTAGTACACTTCTCTCTCAAGTGTGTCACACATTTTAAAACAAATGAGCGGCTTTTGCCTGGCGCAGCCTCTTAGCAGCGTCGCGGGTTGCGGACGGATGTTGCGAGCATTCAGGATTGCTAACCCTAATCACTTTTCTCCGGAGATGAAAACGCGTGAAAATTCGCATCCTTCATACGGTACGCGCCAGTAATACCTTGCACTTGAGCACACGCATGAAATGCGCCAAATAAGAAATCCGGGCGATGTTCGAGGACACAAATGCTTAGAAATCACCACAGTAGTCGAAGTAAACAAACACGACGACACGGGCGTTTCTGCCGACTTGAGAGCGCCGCCACGACATCGCCGCTCGAGTAGGTGGATCTTCTCTTCTAGTACGTGCCGGGTTATCATAGCGACACACGACGAAAATTCACAGTCAAGGATAGCGCTTTTACACGGAACGATGAGATGAACGCCGTCTACGACGACGATCACAACGTTGATCACAACCGACGCCTTGTTCGCAGAAAGAAGCAGCCGGCCCGCGACGGGCATGCAACGCGCGCGAACACTTCTCCTGTCATTGAGGTTGTTGGTTTCCAACGCAGTGGAGGGACGCACGCACGTGAACGACACGTGCGTGCGTCCCTCCGTCGCTAGGGCAACTGAAGCCTCTCTCTTCGCTTCTCCCGCTTCTTCGAGCACCCTCCTTGCCCCGCGAGTGCCGCTTGCGCAACGCTTGCGGCTCGCGCCGTCAGCGCCGTTATCTAGTGTCGCACAGGCAAGCGTGCTCGCTGCTCCGGTCGTCGGCGCGGTCGGCGGGCTGTGCCAGAAACCGCACTATAACCGGTATTTCCCGTCGCGCGCCTGCGTTTTAAGCGGTATGTAATTACATGGAGTTCTATGGGAGGCGAACCGGTGGTTTAAAAAAACCGCGTTATACCCGGTCCTGCACTATAAGCGGTTACGTTGTAAGTGGTCTATACTGTAGTGGGAAGAAATGGACAGTGGCTATAACAAACTAATGGTTATAACGAAATAATTACGACCGCTTCTTCAACTTTGTTATAACGAGGTTTTACTGTACAACAGCAAAAAAAAACAATTTCACTAACATTTGCCCCTTGAAATGGTGCACTTTAGATCCTCATGTGCATGTGTGGTTTCCATACTTATTTTCTTCCACTTCAAAGTGTCTAAACTAATTTGAGAAACATCATTTTTCATCTGGTCCTGATTATTGCCATTCATTCCCGTCCACTTAGAGTGTGACGTGGCACAAAACATTGAAAAAGCATCTTCCGAGTGGAGTCAAAGCAGCGGCAGGAACATAAGGGTTTGTAAGTGCACGTGGTGCTTGAAACACTCTCGACGTATCATTGATGACTGAGAATGGCCAGCCTCAGTGCCCGCGTGTAGTTGTGAAGTGCCGCCCCTATATTTAGTTTTACCCCAACTTGGCAAAGAATGAACGCTGCGGCCTTTTCGAGCCAATCAGAGTGACGGAGGCAATCATGGGATGGCCCTTAACAAAAGTACAGGGACAAGAGTGCAGGGCCGTACCCAGAAAAAAATTTCGGGGGGGGGGGGGTTTTCGGGGACAACGGTGGCCATTTTGAAAATGTCTATTGTCTTATTTTCGCCTATGAATCATGTGCATCGGTGGCATATAATGGAGAGTTATAGCAAACCGGAGAACCGGTCCCGGTTTGGTACCCAGTAGCCGACCGGCGCCACTGTGCGTGCGCAGAGGTGGAGATTAAAATCGACTGGCTGCAAGTGCACCGACCAGGGCCGTACACAGAAAAAAATTTCGGGGGGGGGTTGGGGGTCAGAACCCCCTAACCCCTCCCCTGGTTACGGCCCTGCAAGAGTGTACCCCGAGCAGTTGCAGAAGCGGGAAAGAGAAACTCCCCTCCTACCCGTTGTGTATCTCGGACGAAGCTTTTGTCTTCCTCAATGATTGGCCCGTTACTCGAAATTCGCACAAAAGCGGTTTTCCCTTCTCTCCTACTTGTGGCTTCAACCAACAATGCTGCGAGCAACTAGCCAGACAGTGTATAGTCACGCATCTTCCTCCATCGTGAAAATTGGCTCGCTGGGACCGTAGCCTTCTCCGTTTGGAAAGTTACGGGGAGACGAAGTATCGATGGCGCTAAATACGTAGAGGGGTCCAGCGAAGTGATGCGTGAACCGCGATGACCGGCACCCACCTGCATGTAGGCCTCTGCGATGTCGTCCCTCTTGTTGACGAGGTACAGGTTACGGAGCGCGCTCCACGCAGATTCCAAGGGGGCGGCCAGCCGCTCCAGAGGGTCCATCACGGACTCGAACGTCTTCACGTAGCTTCCGTCTGAAACAACGAACAAAAAAATGTCCAATTCGCAAAGACCAGGCTGTAAAGGTTACCACTATGGTGCCTGGAATGCATCTTAGACCGGCGCGTTTGCTGCCGTCCAAAAAGAGTTGGGCCTCTATTTATGCTTGACGACATTGTGGCATTGCGCCGTCGACGGCTGTGACCCTGCGGGTGTCGCGAGAGCGGTCGTGGATATGGCAGACGCCCGTTCCGCTCCAGGTTGCGAAGTCCGCAGAAGCTTCGGCAACCGGGAGTTAAGACGCCGCGACGACGGCGACATTGCCGTCTGCTCGTGCTTTTTGCTGGAACTTCTACGACCAATCACCGGGATTGTGGCATCCGACACAATGGCGCTCCAGCTTTAGTGACACCATTTGTTGCCACTTGGGGACCACTTTCGACGCACGAGCGGACGCTAAGCACACCAGTTGGAGACTCACTCCGGGCAGTGTAGTTGTCGCAAACCGTGGTGTAGGGCGGAACCTGGAGTAGAAACTCTGCCTTCTCTCTCGCCGCCTCTCATGGAGGTGTAATGCGATAACATTTGAAATCCTTCGCATCTCCTGAGGCGTCCACCGAGCTTGGAGCTCTAGGTCTACCTCGGCAAGGCGCCGTTTGCGTGCCAATTCTTTCTAGATTTGCCTCTAAATTAAGCGAGAAAACTGAATTGGTGTGCGATTATTCACTGATTCAGGTTTCCCCACTAAATTTAGCTGGCAAACTGCAATGAACGGGCACACACGGTCTTGATGGTTGGTGGCCTCAGAAATGCTACTGCATTTAAGGTTCCCAGTTAAGCGTTGGCATTTCGCAGCTCAACCAGTACTCACTCGTGACACTGACTTCTATTGCATTATCTGCATAGTGCTTCGAGCCCTATTCCACTGCCGAAATGTATATGCGAACTATCAATCTTAGCGCTACCAGAGGCTCTGTGCTGCAGAGCCGTGGCACCACCCAGCAGCAACCGGGCAAAGCACACATAGAGAAGCACTGCCATGAGAAACCGCCTGATACCGGTAATATGGCCGATCGGCTCTTTTATCTTGGCACCTATTAAGGGCATACTCTGGAGATTTTTCTAGCTACCTCAACTAACTATATTTCCTTAATCCCTGGCCTTTACCTTTCTGGTATGCAATTTAGCGTCACCACGGTTATTGTGAAATCGGCAAGTGAAATTAATGCCAAAACCCACATTCAAATATACCTGCGCTTTTCAGTTCCATGATGTCACTGGCAAGCAGTCTAGAAAACAGCGTAGGAAACAGTGCGAAAAACAGACGAGGACGAAGAAGAAACAAACGGGACGAGCGCTGTCCCCTATGTTTCTTCTTCATCCTCATCTGTGTTTTGCGCTGTTTGTTTCCTACGATTAATTCCCACCAACTCGCACAACTATCCATTATTCTAGAAAACAGAGTAGGTATGCCAAACATTTGTTTTGTGCTGCTGCGTGGGGTGCTGGAGCGAGCTTTCAAAGCATTCATTCGACACTATGAAAGGCAAAAGTCACGAACGGCAAGTCAAAGATAGTCATATTCTGTCGAGACAGCCCTTAATCCAGGTGGCCAGAGTAAACGGGCTATGAACAGTCGGTGAATGTGGAAAGAAAATCACTATCGACCTGCTGAAAATATGGTTATAGAAGCTCATTCAAGTAAAGTCCAGGGGGGCTATGTTCGACAAATGTTTCGTTTCTTCTAAAAAGAAACGGAAGTGACAGAACTGACGATATCGCGTCCGATTGGCTACAGGCTCAAATGACGAAAGAGGGAACTTTCGTCATTTGAGCCTTTAGCCAATCAGACGCGATATCGGCAGTTCCATCACTTCCGTTTCTTTTTAGGAGAAACGAAACATTTGTCGAACATAGCCCCCCAGGATGCATATCATTTTCAAACAACATTATTTTGCATGTTCGTAGTCCAGCTTGGTGGCTGTCAGCAAAGCCGACGAAGGGCGCCCTTTAACAGGGCGCCTGAGAGAATTTGCAGCTTCTATTTTTTATGAGAGAAAACATGCTACTCTCCCCTGAAATACTGCAAATCCGCCAAGTAAACGCAAAGAAAAAACTGCACTACTTTCCGACCCGAAACTGTTTGTGGCGGCTATGGGAACCGCAGTGTCATGTCAAGAGGAGTATGCAAGTATTTGTGGCCCCATTGAACAGAAGTCAACAAAACTATTCTCTCTCCACTGCTACCCTCCCCGTCGTCTCTGCAGCGAACTGCCCTCTGTCTCGATCGCTCGCCGCAACCTTCACCGATGCTAAGCGGGTGCGGTGCTCTGCTGCAGCCGAACCAGACCATGCAAAGACAACAATCTTCGATGGAGCACTGGGGGCCCAGAAGACAGAACCCGAAGGGAAACCAAGTGGTGTCCCCCGTCACGTCACTCAAAATATGGCGCGAGAGCTGAGGGGTACACCAAACTTCGATTTAATTTTTTTTTTTAAATTAGATAAACCAAATTTAGAAAAAAAAAAAAAAAAAGTTCTTTCTTTTTTTGTAGGTGTCATAGAATAATATTCGCAATTAATTGGGCCAACTCCGAAGATTTTCGCACCGTCCCTTCGGGGCAGAGGGTTGGCCGAGCAGAGGCGCCTACCTTGGACGTCTTCTTCGAGCTTGCACACCCCGCTCTCGAACTCGACGATGAGCTTGCCGATGGCGTTGTAGCATTTCTCGCCCGTCAGGTCCGTGTACTCCGGCAGAAGCGTGTACCGCAGCAGGGGGTTGGTCTCGGCAGTATCTTCGGGTACTTCTGGAAGCCTGGAGACAAGTTTAATTTTAATTATTATTATTAATTTGGTGCACTAGGTTCATTGGTACGGGTTTCTGGAACACCTCGAGCCTCCTAGTAGAAAATAAACATTATTAGTATTATCAGCGTGGATGATGAGTTTGGAACTTTTTGTGTGTGGGGTACGTGTGCGACTAGTAATGTAATGTAATGTAATGTAATGTTTTATTTGCTCAGGAAGCCTGGCCAGCAGACGCACCTGCGTACGGGCTCACGCCTTTCTGCTTCGCATCGCAGGCCCTCAAGGACACAGCCTGTTCCTTTTGGAAATAAATATTATTATTATTATTATTATTATCATGACCTGTAGACCACCATCACACAGACGGGCTGCGAGCTGGCAAGACAACCCACGTACAGTTTAGACTTCGAAGACGTCCGTGCTCGAAGACCGCACCGAAAACATATTAAGGCCCGTATTTCTAAAAAAAGAAAAATTACAGAAATGGCGTTTTGACGAACGAGTGCGTCCATGTTCACCCATAAAACACCGAGGTGACCACAACACCCATAAACTTGTCGGAGTCACAGTCCAGCCAAGTCTCAACTCGCCAAAAACGCTCAGAAGTACTTCGCTGGAAAACATACGAGTCTCAAACAAATGGGACAGACTAAGTTTTCACTTACAGGACGATATACTTGTTCCTCTTCTGCGAACAGAAAGGGGGAAGCCGGCGAGTCACCGCAAAGAGCGCCCGACCGCGCAACGGCCATGTGAACGCGGCCATCTTTGTTCAGGAAACCAGAAGTGACGTAAGATAACCCACCGCAGTGCGCGATGGGAAGAGAACACATGACTTCCGGGCTTTCCAGGTGACTAATCGCGGAGGATTGACTCTGATGGGAGTTCCGTTTTTCGCTGTGATGTATCAAGGTGCTGTCGAAATGTCGTCGTCGTCCGTCTCGACGTTGCGTCCTCGTTGACACGCACGTCGGGCTCGAACCAAAGCAACCGTGGAGACGCCGGTTCGAACCGCGGCGGCGGCTGTGGCGGACGGAGCAGGGACTATGGCGGGTCTCCTCGCCAACTGCGCCTGCTTGGCCTGCTTCTACCGGCTCAAGTACGGCCCCGACGAGCTCGAGTCGCTGCAGAGGAGTCGCAAGATCGACAAGATGATCCAGAAGGACAAGCAGGTGATCCGTCGGCAAGTCAAGCTGCTGCTGCTCGGTGCGGGCGAGAGCGGCAAGAGCACCTTCCTGAAGCAGATGCGCATCATCCACGGGTTCAGCTTCGACGAGGAAGTGCTGTGCGAGTTCAGGACGGTCGTCTTCCAGAACGTCGTCAAAGGAATGAAAGTACTCGTGGACGCCAGGGACAAGCTGTGCATCCCGTGGGGGGACGCCGCCAACGCGCACCACGGACAGCGCATCCTTCGCTACGAGCCGAACCTGGCCCTGGACTGGGATACGTTCAGTCGCTTCGCGCCTTCGGTTCGAATCCTCTGGCAGGACGACGCCATCAGGACGGCCTTCGACAGACGCGTCGAGTTCCAGTTGGTGAGTCTGGCGGGGCGTCACTGTCGTGGCACCTTTTCTTTTCCCGTGTTCTCGCTCTGCTTGTCTCGTGGAGACAGGTCACGAGCGGGAGGGCGTCTTTTGTTTTGATCGCCACCCCACTCCCACGTCCAGCGTTGTCCGCAAGGGGAAAGGGATTTGTCTACAAAGTTGCAGGGTCGTCTGCAAAGAGGAAGCGTCTGCTTTCGATGACGTTCCCGGTATTGCGCGCTGCCATCTTCATCTGCTGGGCTGTGGAACGCGTTGTGAGATGGTTCCGAGGTTATGCGGAGTGACACTCTTCTACGAGATATTAGACCCCGCGCATGCGTCCACAGTCCAGTGACTCATTTTTAGCCTGCGTGATAAGTGATGGAGGGGCGCATGCAAATAGCTTTCGATGGCGTTCCTCCATATGTGTCTGACGCACCCAAGCACCACGCAAGTTGTGTGCTCGGGAGGAGATGACGGTTCGGTGCTGAACAATGCTTTTTCTTGGCTGCAGTTGGATTGCGTAATTTTACTACAAGAAGATACAGATCTGTCAAGGTCGAGTAATGAAGGGTATTTATCGTTATCGCGGAGCAGATGCTGTCTGGAATGATTGCACACAGGGACTGCACTTCTTTCTTGCTCACCTACCAGGAAGTTTTCTGCTTGGTTCTCAAGCAGTTTTTCTTTTTGCCTTTTTTCTTGCCGGTTTTAGCCCTTTACGGATGGATAGATGATAACGGCTATACTTTTTGTAGAGGGTGGTAGCTTGCACCACCTAGCCGAAAAACAATAACAAAAACCTGACTTCCTCTTTCAGGCCAATGTGTTTCTTTAACTATCACCAGGTCATGGAGATGATTGCCAGACAGACTTTTGGGGGATCAGGCAGAAAAGAGCAAAAACAGCACCCCCCCCCCCCTGCTTCCTCCCCGCTTCCTCCCCCCATTGAGGGGGTCGCCAATTTTCCTCTGGTTGTACCTTGCCGGCGTAACCTAACACCCAACCCACTCGGGAACACGGTTGAGATTTTGGGCCGGAGCCATACATGCTTGTATGATAAATTATTGCCCGCATAAGCCCTGTTACTATAAAGAGCTGTAACGAACTAAGTGAAGGAACTGAAGCTCTGTTCAATAGTGATGGGCAGTTGGTCTCACCAGGTATGGTAACCAAAAGCCATGGCTAATCAGTGCCTCCTCTATACACCAGCTGATGTTTACAAATAAACTGTAGCGTCCATAGCGACACGCCATTGCCGCTGCGCATGTGCGACGGAGTGTGGGCAAGAAGCACCACGTCCCGCATCAACAAACCATTGGAATGTCGCGTTGTCGGCATCTGTGTTAGTCTCCGTGCTCTTTTTCGCATTGGAATGGTCGATTCTACATCCTCACAGCAATGTCTTATCACTTGAGTTGCCTGGGTGAAATTATCAAGGCTCGTTACGCCACAAAACTTTGAATAAATGATTTGACGTGCGGCGATTCATTCGTGTGAATGCCGCAGAATGGACGCCAAAACCATGATGCGGGGACTGCTATTTTCGGTTGCGACGTCGCTCTTGCTGCAAAAAGTGTATACGGTAGTGGCGATAATAGATGTTGGTGCTCAAAATCGGAAGCGGAAACAGACCAAGTGAATCAGGCGTAACAAGGCTGTGATGGCCACTGGTACCAGTGATCAACATCTTGTATTTACTGTTCACACTGAGTGTACTTAAGTCTTTTGATACCTGCACTTACTTCTTATCGCAATTACCAAGTCAATGTTTGGTAAACGGTCCACTGTTGTTTCAGCAAGCAGACGACAAAAAGTGGACAAGTTTCGAAGAGCAGACGGCAGTCTGAACGGTCAGGCGGCGGTTTGAACTTGAAGATGTACTAAACCCGCGGGTGGTCCAGAAAGCTTAGCAGTTTTCCCGTGAATTCCATGAATTCAACCCAAAATGTTTGTTGCACGAGTAATTTTAGTTCAACAGTGTCTGGTTTGCCCTTTTTACGGCTACCATCCACGTTCTCGGACAAACGGAAGATGCAAAATACGCATAAAAACTGATCGTCAAACCTTTCCCAACTCTTTTGGTACATACCCCATTGTGGCGTTTTGCCGAGAAAGGCAGGTTTTTGCCTAGTTTCTTTTAAAAAAACACAGGAATGCATGTCTTCCACAGTGACCTCTGCCCACAGCCCCAGACTGGAAGTGCGCCCGACGCGCCACTGCCGCGGCGTGACGTAGCAAAGTTGAGTTTGTGTATACTTTCAGCGCCTGGCAACAGAGTCGGGAAAACAATGAGCCGTCGTTGGAAGTGCAGCGTTTTGTCGCTTGGCGCTCCACTGAAGCAGGGTCTTTTGGGCGGGTAGATGGATGGATGCCATGCATTCATTCATCCATTCTGAGGGGCTATGCAAGTTCGTAGGACACAGGGACCGGGACATCGCTGCCTGCTGTGATTGGCCTGCAGCGTGGTGTTGACTAACTGCAGCAGGTGGCAATGTCCCTTTGTCATTGTCTTGCATAGCCACCCTGGTTCCGAACATGTGGGTGGTAAGCTAGCATTGTACAACATGGCATTCGAAAAAAGCATGTGGCCATGAGAAGGTTTTGGCGCTCTGATTGGATTAAAACATTACGCTATTTCGGAAGAAGCAGACGGCATGCATTTTTGTGCTCACTGCATACCTTAGCGTGGCATGACGTTGAATGCGGTGTCCAGTTTTCTTGTCAGGCCGCTGCAAGCCACTTTTCTCAAATGAATGTCAGCGAGGTCTTAACAAAGACCCTGCAGTCATTTTTTTTTTCTTTTTCATCCAAGTTTTATTGGGGCACACAACAGTAGACATTTTATAGGCGGACAATGTCGAACACCTAATGTAAAACGGATTGAGGCAGCAAAAGCAGACGGCGTATACTTAAACAGCTTAGATTTAAGAGAGGGAGCAACCATAACCATAGAGAGCATTTACAAGTAGGGCACAGGCATTGCATTGTCGCGTGGCAAGAAAAAAAGTGGGCAGAAAGGCGCTTGCAGACAATCAGTGCTTCCTTCCCTTGCTCGCAGCTCATCTGCAAGTACGACTATGTGACCTTGATTGAGCATTTGAAACCAGTTTAAATTTAGGTACACCACATGTGATGATGATGCACCCTGTTATGCTGGCACCCTCACGCGGTCGTCAAGAGCATTGGAGGTGATGGCCTCAGGAGGGCCTTTTGTCAGGTACTGAAAGTATATAGGAGGCACTGCTCTAACTGACCCAACAGTATTAGTATCTTATCAACTATCATATGTATACCTTGACCCAGGTGGCAGCGCTCTTGACTGAAACGTGCTTCACATCAAGCATCAATATCGTTAATATCTATGATAGTTCACTATAATTTTGTGCCATCGAAGGTCATTCTTAGCCACATCAGCATAATGAAATCACGCGACTTCAGTATTGCGAGCAAAGTCACGGGCATGCCACATTCTGGTTGTGCTTTCACTTGAACATCTCTTTATTGATCGCTAATGCTTCCATCGTTGTATGAATGCTAACAGCCGAGTTGGAGTTGCCTGGCTTCTGCGGTGACCAAAAACAAGCCAGCCATTAAAATCCTTATTCTGTCGTCTGCCCCTCGTTCGAAACCATACTGGCATATTCCAAAACTGCCGCGTCATGGCTGTCATTCTGACCCGACAGTGGAACATGTTTTCATTCGAGCTTCCTAGATGAGAACTGCTACAGGTCTCACGAAGATTCATTAGGTCATTGAGTCCTTGCCAGTTTTTTTAAACGCTTCTTGGCTCGGTGCCTGTCCACTGCCGAGAGCTTCAATTTGTTTTTCTCTGCTTCGTGTCTTGTTCGAACGGAGGTGGGGGGCTTCTCGCGCGCAGAAAGTCTTTCACTGGAGGTACTGTCGTGAGCAAAAGTCTGGATAACACGGGAGCGCCGACCGAATTGCATCGCCGCGCTCCCTGACGGCGCGGCGCCTGGTGCCGAGACCCGCGTAATGCGCACGCGCATCCTTTTTTATCTGCTGGCCCACTCGTTCGCTCTCTTCAACGCGATGCTCTCCTGAGCGATTAAATGGGCGCTAGGTGCCGCCCCGGCAACCAAGATTCCGAGAGCCTCGCTCACCGCTCGGGACGAGCTCGCGTGCTCCGCGGCACGCGCCGTTCGCGCATATCTTTCCCGCGACTCGGCGACGCGTTAAAAACTGTCGCTTCTGTTGATGCAGCCACAATGAATTGTAGAACTTGTATTCGCGTACTCGAGGCAGCCTTGGGCTTCCTTCCGAGTGATCATGCACGCGCGGTAAAGTGGTGAATGACGAGCAAAAAGAAAACGCCAAATAAGAAAGAAACTTTTTCAACCCCCCTCCCAAGAAAAAACAAGAAACAAAGCGGAAGGAAAAAGAGGCGCTGATTCAGTTTGGGTGGCTTGTAATTTTTATATTGTTGATAGCGTCAGAAAGAATCGAAAAAGCATCACTTTCCTGCAAAATGTTGCCATTCTGTTGTGTAATCGCAAAGCAGAAATGGAAATATTTCCCCTCTGCAGCCGTGCGCGGCGGCCATGGGAAACGCGCCGTGACAGTGACGCGGGGATCGCTGCAGCTCAACGCTTCACGACGAGCGGTAGAGAGAGAAAGAGTAAACATCCTTGAGGAGAGCGCTCGGAAACCGGTGCATCCTCACGTCGACGTCACTGAGCACGTCATTCGGAGAGTTGAGGGGTGCCGGAAACTTGAATCTTTGCTATTGTTTAAAATTATGATTAGGGCACACAGATTAAATCGCTTTTCTGTTCTTTACTTTAGAAGTGTCGGAGAACAACTCCTATAATTATTTGGCCATTGTCCGGAAATCGTTGCGTAGCCGCTTTATTTTATGATTTCCGGTACAAGCCATCACAGCTGATGTCAAACTGAACATTTTAAGGTCACTTCGCAACAACCATGCTGAGAATTTGTGGACAGTACCCTGTTTTTTCTCTCGTTGTTTTCTTGACTTCTTGACACTTTAC